CATTGAGCAGCAGTGATCACTGAGCATGCAGTCATCTCCCATTCAGTCTTCAGCTGAAGACCTCTGATTGTTGAGAGCTGTTCTGAAGTGGAAACTCAAGCAGCTGAATCTAAACACAATTATACATAATTTCTTAGTCAGTGTACCGCCAATCCATTAACTCTCAGATTAGATGTTGAAATAATGCATGTCTTTGTAGTACCCCCCCCCCGCCCCCACACTACTTCTTCAGCTGCCAACTAAATTGCACAAATGAACAAACAGTTTTACTGTATTTACTTGTGTTTACTGAAGTTCTGTTTTGAGGAAATAAACAGAGCTGTTTGGGTTGAATATCAGTGGTAACTGGAGGGAGCAAAAGGAGGTCTTGTAGGGCAGATCGTCTGAACGACCTCCTTTTCAGACATGTTCAGCTGAGCCATACAGAAGGTAGATGAACTACATGTGCACATTGACATGGCCCAGTAGGAAGATTGGGATCTTTGAAAGTTAGATTAGATGGAAAAGGTAGTTGCGATTGGGTTTATTCAGGTGCATAACACACAGTTGTGTTAACTGCTTATCCTATGATATTGTTTTTAAGTTTTAGCCAGTACATTTAATAGATTAGTGTTATATTCATGATGTAATACCCTTATAATAGCTGTGTTCCAGTAACCAAGCAGTTTGTTTTTAGTTTCTATTTCTGTTTGGAACACTTCAGTCATGATATCCAGATCCTGACAGCTGTCTGTCATTTCCTGGGTGCTTCAGATTGTTTTGAAAGGACCATTTACAATCTGTAACAACTAAATAAATACTAAGTTTCCTTTCTGGAAATGTGCTTTCACAGATTAGTATTTACATTACTGTTTGAGATTCCCTTTGGTGTCATTTAAAGGGAAAAAAACAAAAGAGATCATTAAAAACAAAAAGATCAGGTTTATAACATTTTAGAATGGAGTAGCAGTACTCAGGATGAATGGGCTTACTAACTTTATTAATGCTAACTTAAATATCTAATACTTTGATATATTGAGAAAATATCATGATAATGAATTATTTGCAGTGTCGCCCTGACAGAATATTCTTTTAATCTTTATATCTTTAAGTTTTTAAATAACTGTTGATTTAAAAAGCTGCCTATACGCCAGCTGATTTTGCTGCGTGTAAGAGGGAACTTCTGTCACATACCTGTTTGATTTGTAAGGAGTTTGGCAGCTTTGAGATAATCAGATAGACTCTCAGTAAGACATTTGAAGCAGTGGTGCAAAATCAGGGTTGCGCTGTGCTTCTTTTTGGTATCGGATAGATGCTATCTGGGGAACCAATACTCATGTCTGGCATAACAGTATAGTCTTTTTTTCTGAATACAAGTTGATTAAAGTAACATAACACACAAATAGTAACTTAACAAAATTCATGAAACTTCATATGTAAAGGGCTAGAACTGTTTTGTGTCTTATGTTTTTTTTTTTAAGTCAATTTCTAATGAAAATAGACCCTCTTATCAACTTGATTTCATATCATTTAAAAGACAAAATTATTGGTTTCGCGTAATCGTCCATCAAAATGTAGTGATTTTTGCCCCGCCTCTAAAACTCGGTGTCCTGCAGAATTTTTGTCTCATTTTGTCCTGTGGGTTCTGCACCCACCTGCTTCCTTCTAGGTAGGACTTTTCTAAATTGACTTTAGATTTCAACCTCATTGACTGTTAATGAGATCATCTGCTAAATTTCAAATTTTGTTTTTAGAGATTGCTGCCATGTCTATAAGATATTCCAGTCCAGTTTTATTGGGAACTTTTTTCCCCCCTTTTTTTGTTTTTTTTTAAGGAGTCATATGTGTTTTTATGTGTTTCATGCTCATGTTTTGTTGTAGCGACATCTACTTGAGTCTTTGTTTCACTGAAGTAACAATACTCGTACTTGAGTGTGGATTAAGGCTATTAATGTGGATTAATCTACCCAGCTCTGCATAGGTCATCTCTACTTTTTTGTGTCAGCTGTCCTCCTGTGGAATCTGTGGCTGCAGGAAATTCCTTTAGTTTTCTTTCACTACAGATTTTTCTTCCATTTTGTATAACTTCTTCTCTTTTTTTATTTTTGTTCTTGCACCTTTTTCTGTTTCACAGAGTATATTAAGTTTGGGATTTTTGTGTTTGTGCTCCTATTTGTTTCTGAAGCAGTGTGAAAGTGCTGTCTTTTCAGCGTTCCATGGCAGACTGGAAACATTCCAGACTGTAAACTCATGTTACAATACAGTTTTTCCTCTTTTTTCTTTCTTTCCTGTCCTCCCCCACTAGCCGTGCTCAGAGTGCATCTCTGCAGCTATTGCATAAGGGCTCATGTCTCACACTAATACCTCAAATTGCAGGGGTGCTGAGGAATGGTGTGGATCTAGCAGACATTTGGACAGGGACTCTATTAGAATGGGCCATCTTTTGTGTGTGTGTATATATATATATATATATATATATATATATATATATATATACACACACAGCTGTCTCAGAGAAAGTGGATTATCTAGAATGCATATTTGATATGTTGACTCTAAGTTTGTAGCTCATTGATTGTTGTTGAGAGATCATCTAGTAGGTTGCCAGGAGGCAAGTATACACACACACACACACACACACACACACACACACACACACACACACACATATATATATATATATATATATATATGTGTGTGTGTGTGTGTGTGTGTGTGTGTGTGTGTATATATATTATCACGTACCCATAGATGATTATAGCCCATATCATGTTGTGCCTTTTAAAAATGGTTTTGTTGTTTCTTTTTATGGGACAGATATTTGTGTGCTTATCATGTTCGTTCTTGTTTCATTTAGTTTAGCAGGCCTTGACACATCAGCTGTGAATGTTCAGTTTAGAGAGCTGTTGCAGTGTGGCTCTCCATGGATTCCCTTTAATATAGATTCATTGGAGCTGTCGTCTGTGCCCCAGATTTTAGTCTCTCGTTATGTTCTCAGCTCCGCTCGGAAACGGATCAATTCTTCTGTCCTCTTCTCATTACCCTTCACTACTCTTCATTACTCCATCGCTGGTGAAAATGTCTCTTCAGTAAAATCCACTTGATAAGTTTGCCATACCTTGATTGGAAATTTAATTTTGAATGTGATGAAGTTCTAAATCTATCAGGACAAAACCTTTTCAAGCCCATCAAGCCCAATTCAACAAGATTATATAGTTTATGTGTATATCCTAATCACATATCTGTAGACCTTTAGCAGTCATTCTAATCATGCTGACCAGCATTGCTTTTGCTTTCTGATTTAAAGAGTGTATAGGACAGCTGCAGTTCCTCAACATCATCGACTGTGTCAACGCATAGATTTCCAAATTTATGGTCAATTCAGATTATTTTATGAATAGTCACGATTGTGGTGGCAATGTTTGCACATCTTTTGTGTATATGTGCTACCAGCACAGTGTCTAAGCTAGTTTTCAGTGTGCATGGGAGAAGAGTGCCACACTAACTAGTAGCTGCTCCTAACCCTAAACTACCAACAGTTCCTTTATCGGTGTATCAACATGGCAAATAATGTGGTAAAGCCACTGAGAAGACTGCATAAACAGGAAAAACAGAAACTCAGAAACTTCTTAGGATGGTTGGATAAAACTTGGTATAGCTGAATAAATATATAAATCACTAAAGTAATTTGGGTAAAGCTTACTGTGTTAACTATATCTATAGTCTACTCAGGCAGGGGTGTCCAGTCTTATCCGCGAAGGACCAGTGTGGCTGCAGGTTTTTACTCCAACAAAGCAGGAGGTCACCTGATGAAATGTTTGAAGACTAAGACCAACTAATTAAACAAGTGGGCTTGTTTGAAGTGAAAACGTGCAGCCACACCGGCCCTTTGTGGATAAGATTGGACACCCCTGGTCTACTGTATCCTGTTACTATACAGCTGGGCTGTAGTACAGCATAGTAAATCTTTTTTTGATATTTAAATTGTCCTTTTTGATATTAAGCATCTTTGACTAATCACAGCTTCAGAATTATTTAAGCTGGATGTCAGCTTTTGTGAAGGAAGATGTTTTCTGTATGGAGGGCTACAGCAGGGCATATCTATGACAAGCTTGACTGCTGTAAAAATGTGCTGCCTTGCACAGCTTTAGAATGTTTTGGAAACAGACAACAAACTATTAGTATTAATATAGGACAGTGCCTACGAACTATAAACTCTTTATTGAGAAAAAAATAAATTAAGGTGTACTTAGAATTTTTCTATAATTTTTGAAATTATCATTATGAAAATGAAGATTATTTAATGCATCAGTATAATAGATTATTTAATGCATCAGTATAATAATTTACAGATTAATTAATTACTAAATTAATAGGTTTTGGAGGTTAGGGAACCAGCCTTGTGACCGGAAGGTCGCCGGTTCAATCCACTGAGCCAAAAGTACAAGACTGATGTGCCCTTGAGCAAGGCACCTAACCCCCAGCTGCTCCCTGGGCACCATGGATAGGGCTGCCCACCAGTGTGTGTGCATTCACTAGTGTATATGTGGTGTTTCACTGCACAGATGGGTTAAAATGCGGAGGTGAAATTTCCTCGTTGTGGGCCTAATAAGCGTCTTAGAAAAGAAATAAAGAAGTAGAAATTATTATTAGCAGCATCCCTAGAACACAGTCAGCTGATGCCAGAGCGGACATCAGTGACAGAAAATAGCAATGCAGTATCAAGGGGGTTGGAGACATAATGTGTGGTATGCAGGACCTGACAGAGCAGTGTAATTTTCCACAGGCCCTCGCAGGCACAGAGGGCCACAGACGTGTGTGTTCACTGTCCTGATGTTCAAAGTGAAAAGGGCGTGCCAATGAAAGTCTGATGGTATAAAGAGATGGTTATGTGAATGGTGTTCAAATTAGCTTTGGAATGCAGCAGCAATGTTCAATGAGTAAGACGGAGTTTTGTACTTTTCTTTTGTATTTTTTTAATGCTCTGATCTTTTGTGTATCTTTTTCTTTCTGACTTTCAGATGCCCCACCCATCGACAGGGAGGAGTTGTTTGTTCAAAAGCTGCGCCAGTGCTGTGTACTCTTCGACTTCGTGACGGATCCCCTTAGTGATCTCAAATACAAGGAGGTGAAGCGTGCTGGCCTCAATGAGATGGTGGAGTACATCACACACAATCGTGATGTAGTTACGGAGTCCATCTACCCCGAAGCTGTCATTATGGTGAGAGAGCACATGCTCCCACATGCTTGTTCTCACATGCTGCAGGACACTCAAAAGCACATACCTGAAAGTAAGCTCACCCAAGTGTCTGTGCTCACCCCTCACCTAAAACATGTTGACTAATATATATATATATATATATATATATATATATATATATGTATGTATGTGTGTGTGTGTGTGTGTGTGTGTGTGTGTGTGTGTGTGTGTGTGTGTGTGTGTGTTTTTTTTGTTTGTTTGTTTGTTTGTTTGTCGCTTCTCTTTCGAATTTTCCTGTTCCACCTTAAATGGTGCAGCAGGTACATTCGGCACCTAAGGCAGAATTTAAGGTGGAACGGGAAAATTAGAACACGAAGCTGGCAAATGAGAAGCGACTTCAGCCTCGTAAAACAGCCGGATGCTGAGACATTTTACAAGAAACTCTTCTAGTTTTGAAGAAAAGTTTTCTGGCGGAGATGGGAGGAAAGCGGCTATAGCTAAAGCTTAAAGCAGAGCAGAGTAAATCTGCGCTCTCGTTTATGTTTTTAGCCCATACTAGGACATTAACACATACTGGGACGTACTGGACATTAAATGTTGTGGCTCCCAAGGTGGTTTGACTTTGTTGAAAGGCAAAATGGCTCTTCTTAACATTTGGGTTGCGACTCCTGACCCAACCTGGCTTTAATGCAGAGGGAGGCGGTTGGATTTCTCGCTCATCCACTTGTGTTTTGGTTATGTGCCGTCACAGACTGTCCGGGCGCTGCACTTACCCACTTCCAGTTCCGCCTTTTGCGTTCCGTCAACATTACGTTATAAATTAAATATTTAGAAAATCGATTTTTGACATTTATGAATCGATTCAGAATCGTTCACGTCCGCATCACGATGCATCTAAGAATCGAGTTTTTTTTCCGCAACCCTAGAGCTGAGCCATATCAGAAGTACAACAGAAATACAATTATGACCAGGTGACTCTAAAAGTTTTGTTTTGTTTTTTTTAAAGATTTGAAGAATAAATTTTTTTTTCCTCTTGAGAATTGTGAACCTAATTAACTTTTTTTTACATGAGTAAGAGGCTGGTCCACATCGTATTTTGACTATAGTTTACCTAGCGTTGACTTTGTCATCATCTGTCTTTGCAACATCTGTCAGACAGCTGACAGTTCTGGTCATCAAAGTTTCTCATGATGATGAGAAATGAACAATAAGCATTTGAAAAACAAGTATCTTGGAGAAATAAATCTGAATTTCTTTGAAGATGTGATTGAATATTCTCAGAGCCTATAGAGAATAATCACCAGTACTGTCCCCACTTGTACAAGATGAACAAATAAAATAAGATCAAAGTTACTTGCAAATTGTATCTACAGCCTTGTTTTATAGGTTTGATTGATTTTTTTTTATTTGTTTATTCATTTTATTTATTTATTTTTGCATTAATCATCTGTAAAAATGGCCAGATGTAGTGTTTAGCTTCTCATAAACATTTTCACAGAATGCTTAAACATCACTTTACGTTGGCTCCAGTTTTGAGGTTTTCCCATTTATTTGACATAGAATGACCCTTTTGCAATAACACCAGATTAGATAGAAGTGTCCCCCTGAAATTCTATCTCCATGGCAACATTAATCCTTTTAGCAATACTGTTGTCCTTCAGAAGTGCTATAACACACAGAGCTATTGTCTCTTCCCCAGGGAGTACGTTTTATGACTCATCCCCTACATGACACTTTTAAGGGAGAATTTTAAAATGTTATTAATAGTACAGATGAGCACTGATTGGTCACCAGACATATTTATTTATTGATCATGTGTGTTTTACACACTTAAATCCTGTCTTGCACCTCATGTCTTGAGCCTGCACCACAGCAGTATTGTGGCTAAAAGCCTGAGAGACCCTTTACTAGCAGAAATGTCTGAGAGCTTCACAGCGTGGCACATACTGTCTTTTGACAGTAATGACTTTTTCCTGACTGGTTCTGGAGGTGCAGAGAGAAGCATTGGATTTCTAGTCAAGCCATGAGCTGTTTCTGGACCTTAGAATTTGTTTCTGGTGGCAAAGCCAGTGCCTGCCAATCTCAGCAAAAGCCTCTAAGCCAGGCATTATTGCCCCTCTCGGGGCTGTGTTGAGCTCTGCGCTCCATTGACAAATAGGAGCGTCTCTCTCGCCTCCTACATGATCACTAGGGAGTTTTGGGTAATTAGCCATCAGACACCTGTGCTTCCTTTCAGGCATTTATAATTCACAGCACAGACCTACTGTGATTGATAGTTTTATATACATAGAAAACTATCAGCTTACAGTATTGCACTTTTGCATTTTCATCCATTTACCCCTCTCTTTGAATTTTCTCTGGACAATACTAATCATTTATGGTCAGTCAGTCTTTGTGGTCATTTTTTGCCATCTGGCAGAGATGGCAGAGGTAGCAGTGGAGATTGTCTGGTTCCTCCTCTCTCTCTGGCTCAGTGCCTGAGCATGCACCAATTTAAGCCATTTAGCCAGAGACGGTAGAGCCCACTAATTCCTACTAATTCTCGATCAAAACCATTTTTTCCCTCAGTCCCACAGTGAATGTCAGCCAAAACTTAATAGTAAAGGCATATATTGATATTCTGTTCATACGTACATTTATTTGTGCATGTATGTATTGTCAATACAGCACTGTGCAAATGTCAGAGACCACCCTTTCGTTTATTCCGTTTCCAGTCAAAATGGTCAGTTAATTTTTCAGTGTCCGGAAAAAGCAAGCAGCATATATTTAACAGAAATTATATGGTTGGGCCTGTGTATTTGACTGTTCGGATATTAAGTCGTTGGGTAGGTTGGGTAGACATTTTAATCAATAGGCCTATCTGTTTTGCAGTGTGCCTGTCAAAGGCGAACCGCAAAATACTGTAACATTCAGGGTTCTCGGGAGAAACTTGGATAACTTAAGGTTGCAGTCTATAGCTTAATTTTTAATTTGCTGAAAACAGCGAAGAAACCCAGCCTCTCCAGCACAAACAGCTAAAAACACAGCCCCCTGCTCTACTCTGGAAAATCCACCTCTGCACCCATATTCAGGCTCTTCAACATAAAAGTCCTTGTATGAATGAACCTAAACTGAACTGAAAGTGCAGTGATGCTACACCACAATACATTTTGTCAGCACGTTTGTGTACTATATTTATATTTTTTAATTGCACCCCTTCAGATAAACAGTACTTAAAACTAAATCAAGCTCCACTCTTGCTTCACATCTGAAAAATCCACAGGTGTTTCTGTCCATTCTTCCACTGTGACAGGACATCGCTTTGGGTCTGAAAGGATGTATGGCTTTTGCAGTCTCCTTTGCAGATTTCTTTGAAAAACGTTTCTGTTAAATAAGTTTTCTGGTTCTTTCCTGATGCTGGAAATTAAATAGCTTGTACCCTAATGACCATTTTTGAATGGAAATTTAATAAATGAAAGGAGTTTTTTACAATAAAAAACTGTTTATGTAGCTATATAAATATTTATTTTCTCAGAAAAACACTAATATTCTAAAGAATATAAATAACATTAATACAATAAGTAGTAATTTGTATACATGATAAGGTGTTTGTTTAGCCCTTTCCAAACCTTTCTTTGAGGAAGCCCAAAATTATTTGTACTTATCATCCCAGTATCTGGATTAGCTAAGCAGTGCTTCATTATGTTAAATCAGGTATGCTGGCAATGGAATTTAAGGAATCTGTGCAGTGGTTGGGGGTGTCCGGTAGACATCTAAAACTAATCTTTGTTCTTCAAACAAGCTCGCAGCACATCAAAGCCTCTTTAAAAATAAGACTTTCTTGTTACTTTTTACTCTATATGTTTAGTTGCATATTTTAATTACATTTGCAAGCAGAAACACACTTATCTCCAAAATAAGTAGTTTTACAATGTGTGTGTGTGTGTGTGTGCTGTAAATCTTTATCTTATATTTTGTGTTTGTGTGTGTTTTTTACTTGTAGTTTTCAGTGAATCTGTTCAGGACTCTGCCTCCTTCTTCCAATCCTACGGGGGCAGAGTTTGACCCTGAGGAAGATGAGCCTACACTGGAGGCAGCTTGGCCCCACCTGCAGGTCAGTGTGACCCTCTGTACCACCACAGTGCAAGTCCGCCGACATTCCGCAGGACATAGTATGAAAGGAAAATCTCAAAGCACATAGCCCTAAGAGCTGTCATTTCTATAATTAGCTTCTATAATCTGCTAGCTTTTGTGAGACACACAGAAGAGATAAAGAGATAAACACTCAAAGCAGGCTGGGAAAACGCCTTTGTTCCCTACAGTGGCTGGGGAGACTTTTCAGATGTCACGCGAAGCCATGTGGCCACCTTGTGACTAGCAGTTAGCCAGTAATTTTGCAGGCGTAACACCTGCCAAGGACAAGTATAGCTAAGACAACGTCTGTGGTCACCAAACAAAGTATTCTCTGCAAAGCTTTCTGCAGCCATATAAATCCCATTTAATAATCAGTAGGCCTAGGTTCCAATCCTCCTTCATATATGAATCACAAGCAGCTACCTCATTTACAGGGCTGACGGATTTTAAAATCGAATGGGGCTACATTTAAAGGCTTGGTGCCAGCATTTGTTCTGTTTAACAGGATTGTTTGTTTTGTTTTGTTTTTTTTGTTTTTTTTCTTTTTTTGTTTTTCTTTCAGGAAACCAAGACTGTTTAATTATCTTTCTGTATAGTAGTGCAGTACTATCTTTCCAATCAAAATGGTCTATACAATCCAATGGTCAATGAAAATACATGTGACAAACGTAACTGTGGTTCTCTGAGGTTTAGATATACCTCAAAACAGTGTGGTGCAGGGTGGATATTGCTTGCGCCCCTGCATGTAGTTTGAGATCTCATACTAATAAAATCATGCAGTAAAATCCTTATAATGCAGACATTTCTTCATGAGCAGGGCATTCGTATATCTGTTTGTACCATATATTTAGTCACTGTGTGATTTTATTAGTGTAAGATCTCTACCTGAGTGCAGGTACAAGGAGTATCCATTCACAGTGACTCTTTGCTGCAGGTGGAAGCACCACATTTACTCTGTAGAACCCAGAGGATCTTGAGAGCTGATCACGTATCTGCTGCATAGACATCCACTTTCAGCAGCACTCAGGATGTAGGAATATTCTTAATAGAGTGACAAAGCATTGGCCCTGGGGGCAGCTGCTGAGTGGATTTGTAGGCCATTGAAATTCACATAGAAACTCCACCACCCAGTATGAGGTCCCTGTTTCAGCAGAGGAGCCTCTCTTTTCCTGTCATTAAAGCAAGCAAAGAATTGGACAGTATGACGGATGTCAACAGTCAGATAGGTGTGGATAATTGTTTTCGTAATCATAATGAGTTTAATCACAGTACACTTTTCTGTGTGTGTCATGGGCATTGTCACTGAACAACTGCTTGCATTAAAAACAGACAGTTATAGAGAACCTGTAAATACTGGGGAGAAGTGATTTATAACTACATAGCAAAAAGTAACTTATTGGATGGCATTTTAATGCTATTATCTTAATCATTTATTTTATATAAATATTAAAAACTGAATGCTGTGATGCGTGTTGTGTATTGTGAGTCTTTTTCACAACAATTTTATTTTTTTGCCGTATCACCCTCCCTTATTGACGGTGAATGAAGCGAGATCACAGATGTTCATATTTACAAATTAAGTAAGAAAAGCTGGTTCAGTCCATAGGCTGCTATCCAGACTCCACCACAAGCATTGTGTGTTCTTCTAGGCAGGATTTGGATTATTTGACTCTTTGAAAATATAATCAACAGATTAGTTGATTACTGAAATATAATTATTTACTGCAGATCATCTTATATTTTAATTAATCTCTTCCTGATTTTGTTCTCTACTGACTCTTTCCCTGTTTAGCTGGTGTATGAATTCTTCTTACGGTTCTTGGAGTCACCTGACTTCCAGCCTAATATTGCCAAAAAATACATCGACCAAAAATTTGTTTTGTCTGTAAGTATGTTTTCCATATATTGCTAGGACACAGCATTTTCTCACTAATGGATTGTTTGCTAAAATGTGATGTCTGAAGTATTTCAGAGTGCTGGGGCTTCAGGTTACTGTTTACAGATGTATTATAAATGACTTTGGGTTGATGTACAATAGTCAGATCTGTGTTGTTGGGTTCCATTACGTAAGACAACTGAAAACTGATTTGCACTGAACCTTTAGTTTTTGCCTGAGAAATAAAATCGCAAAATGTTTAAAACAGATGAATTTCACAAGTTCAGTTTGCATTGTGACTGTTATTTCGCTTCAAATTACTTATGTGCATTGTAGGAATATAAATTGTAGTTGTTAGCATATTTATTTTGAACATAATTTATGAAAAAGAAACAAATGACTTCTCTTTTGTAGCTCCTGGAGCTGTTTGACAGTGAAGACCCCAGAGAGCGGGACTTCTTGAAAACCATCCTGCACAGGATCTATGGCAAGTTCCTGGGGCTTAGAGCTTACATCCGTCGACAGATCAACAACATATTCTATAGGTGAGGTCTCTCCACATTTATATGTGTACACATGTATGATGAAAGGATTAATATATTGGGGTGTTTTTCTATGGGAATGGAAATTTTCCTTATTCAAATAATTTTGAATACCTTTAAATTGCTCTCATAGTGAGTGCAAGATATTAGACCAAATTAACATTAAGGGCAAATATAGAACGTGTTTTGCAATATTGGCAATGTTTTAAAGTAACTGCAATTTCATTATTCCACTTATCCTTGGTCTCTCATTGCAGGTTTATATATGAAACGGAGCATCATAATGGCATTGCAGAGCTCTTAGAAATCTTAGGAAGGTGAGTGCACCCACTGACACTGACAACCTGACTATAGAGAAGCTCTCTCTCTTATCTGTGTTGAATTGAATGGACTTGGACTGGAATGTCACGTGACCAGATCTTTGTATCCTGTTCGTCTCCTAGTATAATTAATGGCTTTGCCCTGCCACTGAAAGAGGAGCACAAAATGTTCTTGATCCGGGTGCTGCTGCCTTTACACAAAGTCAAGTCTCTCAGTGTCTATCACCCTCAGGTATTACGTCTACAAATGTTCCCTCTTTAAGCCTATATTTGACATAAATCCTGTGTAAATCCTCTTCTGGCCTAGTGCAAAATGAATGGGCACTATATAATGGCTTGCTTCCTAATCCCAGTATGGTAGATACTGTGCACTGTAAATTCTTTGTTTTTGCTGTAACACATTTAACCCAGTTTATTTTGTTGAGTTAGAGGTGTTGTATCAGACAAAAACTGCTGTTCCCCAGAAATGGTCTTGCAGTTCACTTGTACAGTGGAAGTTTGATCCAATAGCATTAGCAACAGCATTTCTGTTACATGTGGTTTTAGCTCTGCTGAAATATGATGTATTATTTCCTTTTCCTGCAGCTGGCATACTGTGTTGTGCAGTTTTTGGAAAAAGACAGCAGCCTCACTGAACCAGTAAGTGTTACAGCTTTTACAGCTCTAGTCATTTTGAAAATTCATGCTTAATCATGATTATTGACTTTTTTGTTTTTAAGTCTCATTCAAGCCTAAAATCAAGGATGCAGCCCATCAAAATATCAATTATAAAATGGATTACAAAGGTTCTGAATTCTGATTGGCTGGGCCACACGCAGTTACCCACACATATGAGCACACATCAACTGAATTCTCTATTCTGTATTAAAAAGTGTTTCTCGTATGGACAGTGAAACATAGTACTGGTAGGTGGAGCCAGACATAAGCGTGTGTGTGAAGTAAATGACTTGAAATCGTATTAAATATACTCTACATAAGAACTTGGTTTCTGTTCAAACCGAGGGGCTTACAACTGTAAAATAATCATGATTATATGACCATGAACTAAAAAGTTGAAATTAAATGACTGCAATATGTAACGATGAGTTACTGAACGTTCCAAACGTTCAGAAACGATATTTAACTTTTAATGGTAAGCCCACCTACTCAAATATGAATAGTGGTTTATTGGAAATTATTTGAACATGAGTTTTTTAACCTGCATTATTGGTAGAACAGTTGTTTTTTAGGATAGCCGTTCATCGGTTAATTATTTACATCCCTACACCCAGCTTTAACCCCTTCTTGCCTTGCTTTCTGTGTTCCAGGTTATAATGGGTCTCTTGAAGTTCTGGCCAAAGACCCACAGTCCTAAAGAGGTCATGTTCCTGAATGAGTTGGAGGAGATCCTGGATGTCATTGAGCCTTCAGAATTTGTCAAAGTTATGGAGCCTCTGTTTAGACAACTGGCCAAGTGTGTATCAAGTCCACACTTTCAGGTAGGAATTCCATCAGTTGTTCACAATCTCTGTATAATTCTGTTGTTAAGATGTTAAGCAATGTTATTTAAAGCGGTTTGATGTAAAATGGTTAATTGTAGAGAAACTAAACAATTTATTTTCAATCGTGGTAATAGGAACCAGAGATCGAGATATCTACACCACAAATATAGACATTTTATTTTATTTATTATCCAAACCACCAATTAACCTATGTAATGTTGTGAATCTATATGTAATGTTGTAAATGGTAAAACAGTGGCAAATCTGGAAAAATACATTGTCTTTGGGAACTACTTTGCCTCAAAACGCCCTGCATGTACCTCTCTGCCACATATGGATTTTAAAAATATGTTTTAGACAGAAATCTTATCTCAGCGCTATCATAAGAGAATATCTCTGGCATCAGGCAGCATATGCCTAACTATTTCATATAGTAACTACTACTTTCAAATAGTAGCTTTTCGAGACATTAAAATCTGTGGACATCTGGTCCCTATCACCACCACTGTGAACAGTTCTGACTTGGCAAGATTATCTAGAACAGAGCGTTTCCCATCAAACCACTCTGAATCACTGTTTACATCTTAGCTATTAAATTATGCTGAAAAACAGAAAAATCAGCAGAATTCCCCTTTAACCAGTTATGAACTGAAATTACAATTTTTGCTCCAGGTTGCTGAGAGGGCACTGTATTACTGGAACAACGAGTATATCATGAGCCTAATTAGTGACAATGCTGCCAAGATCCTGCCCATCATGTTTCCTGCTCTTTATAAGAATTCCAAGAGTCATTGGAACAAGTAAGCCACCCATATCAACTACAGTGAAGTCAGTTACACTCATGAACACAGGAGCGATCATCTCATGATGTGTGCAAGCCAAAAGTAGCCAGACAAACATAAAACTCTTAAATGCAGATACTTAGACTTTGGTGAATGAGTTTTCAAATAATGCAAGAGCTTTTCTTAGACTGTTTCTCTTTCTTCCTGTAGGACGATCCATGGGCTTATTTACAATGCTCTGAAGCTCTTTATGGAGATGAACCAGAAGCTGTTTGACGATTGCACTCAGCAGTACAAAGCTGAGAAGCAAAAGTAAGTCAGCTATAAAATGAATAAGAGAGATGGAGACCGAGATGAGACAGAATGAGAGCGTAGACAGAGAGAAATCAAAATATAGGTGCCTCACAGACATTGTAAGCAACTTACCCGATTTTCTCCTTTTTGTTGATGTAGCATTTGTTCCCTAAAAGCTTTAGCAGCATATAAAGATGCAGTTCTGTTACAAATCCCCACTTCTGACACAGCATAAACTGTTCTGATTTCTCCTCCCCAGAGAGAAGTACAAACTGAAGGAGCGGGAAGAGATCTGGCACAAAATTGAAGAGCTTGCGAAGCAGAATCCTCAGGTACACTTACAACCTCACACTGGCATTCAGACAGGATCAGACAGTGTATTTAGGAAAGATGGGGAATACTGTTTACATGTGTTACTGAACCAATGAAGCCATTTCTGACTTTTATGTTGAAGTGTTTGTCTTACTGACTAGTGCATTTATTGTGTTGAACCTTCAACGTCAGTACTGTCTTGTTGATTTTCAGTAAACACTTAAAACCCCACAAAATTTACCCTGTGCACTGGTGTGAGGGATGCCTTGGGTATTTTTAAGCTTGTCATACTTTAATTAATGCTCAAAATTTGGTGTTCCAGATTAAGACTAATTATCACAGGGCGTCTCTCCAGAGTTTTGCGTTTACTCTGAGGGCACACATAAGAGTCGAGAATTAATTATGGTGTTACGAAGGGAATGTGTGTCTCCATGTGAGTGTCTTAAGTAATTGAATAACATAAAATCTTTTTGTTTGGTTTTTTTTTCAGAGTACAAAGGTCCATCCTAGTATCCGGCCAGGTCTGCCTCAAGATGAGGTCAGTCTCTCCTGTAAAATTCAGTGTAATGAAAAGACTCTTTCCACAATTCCAGGTCCGACAAAGCGGAAGTAATCATAATATGGAAAACATTACAGCAGTGGCAGCATTTACAAATGAGAATGTGGATGACTCAGGTTTTTACCTTCCATAAAAGACGTTGTTAGTTTGGTGGAGCATTTTTCATTTTCAGAGAGGGAGTGGATCTCAGGTCTTTAATTGCACATGCTCATTTTCATTTCCTTGCATCCTTTCCTTGGGTCTTGGCTTCTCCGCAAAGATGCAAGGATAAGACGTGAGGATAGAGGAATCGACGCCAAACATGTTCACCAAATCAGCTGTTACTGAGTTCAAAGGATCTGTTATATCCTACTATCAACCGACTTTTCACATGAGCATGCTTTAGCGAAATTCAAATGCATGAACAGTTTTAGTAACTTTCTAAACATTTTACAGGACCCTCCTTTCAACTGAACATTCATTTGACTTATCTAATGCAAACACATAGGTGGAGGTGGAGAAACTTTACCACTAACTTATGTTACGTGCTGTGACAATAATAGTCTTCTCCATAGGATGCACGTTTGTTTTCTCGCTCTGAAAGCTTCCTCTATTTTTGATACTTCTGAGTGCTTTTGTAAAATCGATACGTCCTTAAAGATTTTAGATTTCTACTGATTACTGGGTCACGTGCCGAGGACGAAGGAGCAAAGAATTAAGAAGATATCAGAGTTTGAGGTGCAGCCAAGGTCTACAAGCTTTTCTTACCTGCGTGACTGTGTCTTTTGGTCAAGTTATGTGATTTAACGTTACATTTTTACATTTTCCCATGTAACATTGTTTTGGTGTTGTACCTTTTCCAGTGTTGTAAACGACCAGATTGTAGTTAGTGCTCTTATGTAAGATAACTGACGTGACAGTGATTAATTACTTTGTTTGAGCAGTAATATCATCAACGTTAACGTTTAATGTACAAAAGCATCAAATCTAATCAAACTGATCAACAATATCACCACACAGAACCATGTTTGTTCACCAACACCACAAGCTATTATTGTATGTATAGATAATTTAACATATTCTGTCTCTTTCACATACAACATTCACTTTCTTTAATTCCACTTGCCCATCCAGCGCTGAAGCAACAGGCTCGAGTAGCCTACTTTTAATGTAGACCTCGTCAAGTCCTCTACATTCTCATTTGTAAATGTCGCCTCTGCAATGTTTTGTGAAATGTTTTCTCTACTATGACAACAAAAGTAGAGATAAAGATCCATTGTTCTTGCAACATGTTACTCCATAGGCTGTTGTTTAACATTCTGTGCAGTCACCTACTCTCAAGGAAAGCTGCAAGTGCATTTATTGTGTGTGTATATATAACTGTCTTTCTTTCTATATCTATTTAATATGTCTGTCTACCTATCTTTCTCTATGTCTCTCTCTCACACTATACACACTCAGTGGTCACTTTATTAGGTAAAATAAAATGATGTAAATAAATACTAAATTTAATAAATAAATACCTTGTATCTAGACTCGTTGAAAATTTAATCAGATTCACTTACAGATCTACAATTACAGATTGTGGTCCAGCTGTTCCTCTGCATGATTTGTTATCCCACCTTTACCCCAGTCATCAGTGAGCAAGACCCCCACAGGACATCCACAGAGCAGGTATTATTTGGGTGGTAGATCATTCTCAGTACTGCAGTGACGCTGAGATGTGTTAGTGTGTGTTGTGCAGGTATGAGTGAATCGGACACAGCAGGGCTGCTGGAGTTAAACAGTGCCACTGCTGGACTGAGAATAGTCCACCAACCAATAATATTCAGCCAATAGCGTCCTGTGACCCTTATGAAGGACTACAGGGGTACCAACACAAACTGTGTAGCAACAGATGAGCTACTGTTTAGTGGGCAGTGAGTGGACACCGTGTTTAAAACTCCAGCAGCACTGCTGTGTCTTTTCCACTCGTACCAGCTTAACATACACCAACACGCCACCACCACGTGCAGTGCTAAGAATGATCCACCACCCAAATAATACCTGCTCTGTGGTGGTCCTGTGGGGGTCCTGACCACTGAAGAACAGGGTAAAAGTGGAATAACATTTTACAGTCTGTAATTGTAGAACAGAATACTTCTAAATGGTAAGTGGAGCTGATAAAATGGGCAATAAATTTAGATACAAGGTAGGTGTATCTAATAAGGCACTCTGTGCGTGTGTGTTTATATATATATATATATATATATATATATATATATATATATATATGTATATATATGTATATATGTGTATACATACACACACACACACACACACACACACACACACACACACACACACACACTGAGAGCCTAGAAAGAGAGAAAGGGGGAGATGTGATTTTAAAAACTAAGTGTGTGTGTGTATTTATGTACAAACAGTATATGATGTATAATGAGAGCCCAGGGATGCCCCAATACTCTATGGAGACAGAGACCCCCACTGCTGAAGACATCCAACTGCTGAAGAAGACTGTGGAAACTGAGGCCTCACAGGTATAAGAGCTTTTATCAAGCCTGAAATATTGATCCAAAACAAAACGTTGCCCAAGAACTGGAGTCTGACCCTATCTGACTCAGAGCCCAGGTATTGAATCTGAACCTGATTGTCATATAGATTCTGTCCACCCAGTCACCACCAACTCCAGATACAAAAATAAATTCTGAGTCATAGCGTTACTGTATAGAGATGTTGACTCATCAAAAAATGAAAGCATTTTGAAGCCTAGCGGTAGATTAATTAGTACAATTAAAGGGTCTGCTAGACCAGTGATTCCTCACCCTGGTCCTGGAGTGTCCCCTGTTCTGCACATTTTAGTGTTTTCCCTGCTGCCACCACATCTACTTTAAGTCATGAAGAGCTTGTTATTGATCTGATTAGCTGGATCTGGTGTGTTTTGATCAGGGGAAAAAACTAAAATGTGGAGGGCAGGGGGGATTCCAGGACCAGAGTTGGGAACCACTGGTCTAGCAGACCCTTTAAATGTTCATAATTGTACAAAATTTGGTGCTGAGAGTGGTGTCATTGTAGTATATAACTACTTCTAGCTGTTTGGCCACATAGCAAAAATACTTTCGTCAGGCCCCAGGAACACCATAGCAGACAGTGTTAAATATATGGGTAATAGAAATAGATTCTGTTTCTGTGGTTTTCTCTACAGATGTCATGAATGCATCGACATTATCTGGACCTCTGTGAACCCTTTAAAATCCCAGGCCTGTTACATACTATTATATACTTGCATACAGGCTTATTTTTCAGTACCTCCTGGGACTAAAAAAATTTGGCCCTGGCCAAAGGGGGTTAACGTTTCAGTTCAGTTCTAATAGGAGGCATTCTGTGTTGCAGTTCACAGAGTGAATATTTTGGTGATTGTTGGTAACATTGTTCAAATGATTAAAAATTAAAAATTCAAAGTGAAATTAGCAAAAGATTAGCGGTCTTAATAAATATAGGCTACATTAGCAAATCCTTGGTTTTGTCATTTCTAGAATTGGTGGAGTGCCAAGACACTGTTCAGTTACTTTTTCAATGCATTTTATCTGTTTTGTTTTTTAATTATGCATTTAAGTTTGACAGTTTTTTTAGTGATGTTTTTAGTGATATACTAACATCTGCTTGGTGCTTTTCAGGGAATGAAGGAGATAAAGAAGGACAAGGTGCTGATGCGACGGAAGTCGGAGCTGCCGCAGGATGTGTACACTATAAAGGCCCTGGAGGCCCACAAGCGGGCGGAGGAGTACCTGACGTCTAATCAGGAAGCTCTCTGACCGGGGAACACCGCCACCCTTCACCTGCACCACGCCTAATCTGTCCCTCTCGTCTTTGTCCAGAAATGTCGCCTGCTGTAAACTCCTCTCTGTTCCTCTCTTTGCCTCTGCCTCTTTCCTTCCTCACCTCCTCTGGAGAGCCCTTTCTGCAGAATCCTGGCCAGCACAGAGAACGGTGGAGAGCTTCCATGCCCTCCATTACTCACATACACAAACGCAATCACAGAAAAGCACTCATTTCTAGTATTCATCAAAAGCCACGCATAGTGATCACGCAAAAGGATACATGAGTTGTTCTAATAATTTTGAATGTTTCCACTCAGAGCGTGTTTGTTTCCTTTTCTTTTTGTTTCACTCAATTTCCTTGTCCAGATTTAATCGTTAGACCTCACTTTTCTGTTCCTCTTTTCAAACTGTGTTGCTTTTTTCAGGATGGCCTTTTCCTGCCTTGCCTCTGTTGATCAATGTTCACTCAGTCATGTCTGGTTTGAAGGGTCCAAACTTGACAAAATGGACTGCATTATCCAAAAGATAACAAGGAACTCAGTGGCAACAATGACCATGCATTTGTGTTTTTGCATGAGCCAGGTTTAGGGACTCCTGTGTGTGTCTGTGTGTGTTTTATGGATCATGTTGCCTTGCTCTTGTGGGACTATGTGGAGCATATGAATGTAAGCAATTTTTCAAAATGTGCCACGAGCATTACACTGAAGTTTTTGTGATATCTAGAGAAGTAATTGGAGCCTTTGTTTTCCTACAGAAACAAGGAGCCAGGCTCTGCATAATACTTGGTGTCATATTAGATAAGTTTACAACTCAAACACGGTTGCATCAAAAGTTCCTCAAGACAAAGCATCATGCTTCCCTCTTGCACATCAGAAGTCCTGCCGGCAGATGAAGGACGGACGTAAACCTACAGTTAGGCAGGTGTGAGCTAGTCCAGATCCATACGCTTTAGTGGCAATATAAGAGTCTGATTCTACAAGCCTTGCTGTCTGAGAGCTTCAGAGTCCCCTTAATGGGAGGCTGCTATGATTTTATTTAAACCCATAGTCACATTCAGACATAAATCTCATCGCAGGATGGGAGGTTTAATCCGTTTCCTGCCTTAGTGGTGATCTGTTTACAAACTGAGATCACAGTACTGCAAGTTGTTTTATCAAAATGATAAACCTCTTAAACCAACACCAGCAGATCATTCCATGTGTCATGATCATTCTGCTAAAGAATAATGTTGTTTGTCCTGTCCCTAACAAAACATGCCCTACAGCTACCAGCTCTTCTTCATGGTTCTGTGGCGTATGGCTGCATATTTGTAATCCGATAATACATTTCTAACTGCTTCCCAAGAAATCGTAAGACCCCCCCCTCCTTTAAATAACTTTTCTGATCTGTCTTACTTTGTTCCCGTGTTTTTTGTCTTGTTAAAAAGAAATTCCCATATTTCAATTCTTTCATGTGGAATGGGAGGGGTTAGTGTAGGGAATCTCTTCACTCACCTCTGCCCTCTCATCTACAAAACCTTGCTTGCCATTACTTTAATAGATTATGCATTTTTTAAGCGCCTAAGCAATATTTTTAGAAAGAAGTTAAAGAGAAAAAAATAAAAAATAAAACATGCACTTGAGAGGTGTATGGTCAAGCGCTATACAATCCTTATACTAGAACTATAAAGAAGAAAAAGAGATGCTTGCTTAACTTCCCAGGCTGATTATATGGGGAAACGAAGACAGCCTGCAGTTACTGTCGCAAATATTTGTGTATTGTATATTGTATTGTATATTGCTTAGGGTTGCACCCTTGCTTGTCACATTCTTTATGATTTTTCCTCTACCTCTCACAGAAATCTTTTGTTTTTTGTTGCTTCTGTTGCCCCCCTCCCCATTGTAGAGTGAATCATCACTCACTCAGATCATTCCAAAAGAATATTCACTCCTTAGGTAAGCAGCCAGACAGTGCAACACTTGCCTTGTCCACACTTAGCTACGCGGTCAGCTTAACACAAGTGGTGCAGCCTTTTGTCAGTGTTCACACACTTAACACTGACTTGTTTGGAAAAGCTGTGCACAGTTCCAACACAGGTGAAGCCAGAATAACTTGAGTTGTCACCTCAACAGTGGTGTTTTACTGGTCTTGTTGGAAGCTTTTTTTCAACATTGACTTAAAACAGCATCGCTCCTGGGTCCAAACTGATGATCTAGCTTGCTTTGTGGATTGGGCACATGTTTGTTGTCTGGCAGCTACACAAACACTGTAGAGGGAAATTATGAAAGTATGGGTCTCTCCACATCACCCTCCCTCTCCCCCTTTCCCAGCCCCCTTTCCCAAGTCTGACACTAATCTTACGCTGCTTTCCAGGTCATATATGTACATATGTTGTACTTTAATTAGGTAGAGCATTACATAGTATGAAAGTCATATTTTGTACAGATGTTCATGTATGTACAGAACAAAAATAAAGTAAAAGTGTTTCTGAATGTGTGGGGTGCTGCACAAAAATCTACACACATATGTACTGCAAACAGGTTACAAAGCAGCAAAATATCAACTAATCAACAGGATGCGACAGGATGTGTCACTTAAGTGATAGTGAAATTGATAACTTGAACAGTGATTTGTTAATGGGAGAGAATCTGAATTCAATACAAAAAGCCTACCGTATTGAAATGAGTGACTAGATGGCGTAGTACACAGAAGTTAAATACACTGATGTTAATATTAATACAACTTCTTGTAAGTGGAGAGTTATTACAGTCTCCATTGACTGGTCACCTTGTGTAATCCTTAAAGACTTAAGTGACATTCATGCAGCAACATGTTAAGATTATAGAGAGCTGAATTTACACTGTGACATTTGGTCTGTAGGACATTTATCTTCTAACAACAACAAGGGAGAAACATTTTCATAAGTTCTTGGTCAGCTTTGTTGCAGGTTCTTTTAAAGTTGTATGAATGTGAGTTACAGGGTGGTGGAGATGAAGAAGGCCTTGGCTGGTTTCACTTGCGTTCCAGTATGAGACTTGCAGAGCTCTGCCGGGACTGAAGTGTCTTTTGGACCATGTCCTTCCACTGGTCATCGGAGATCTCCTGCGCCCAGGCAGGGATACCAAGTGTCGGCAAGTTCACCGCTGCCATGGTTCTCTTTACAAGCTCCACATGGTCTGTGAACCAAACATGGAAAAAAAAACACATGAACGATCAAAGACAACAACTGAGTCTTCTGGGATCGTCAGAATATCTCCTACTTACCTGGATCCATAGGAATAGACGCATGGCTCCGTCGTGCAGCAGCTCCCTCGGGGTCCTCTTCCTCATCGCTGTCTGGAGGTGGTGGCTGAGGCAGGAACAAACCCATGGCCTGAAGAACAGCCACTGATGTCAATAATCTACATGCAAAACCTCACAACTATTGCAATTTACTGACCTTCTGATGTTTTATGGACCAATCACAAAAACATACAGCCTTAAATCAAGGGTCATCAGTTACAGCCCTGAAAGCTCAGTGATTTTGCAATTAATTAGCAAGTTTAGTTGGTGAGGTACAGCAGCGAAATCACCAAACTGCTGGACTGGAACAGGATCAGAATTAATGACCTTTGATCCCCTGATTGTTCACATTTTTTTGTATTATTCACAAAGATGAACAAAGTTCACAGCGGCAGTTAAAGGAACCAGACATCCAAAGCATTTAATGCCTCTAAAGCTATGGTTATCAGTACACTGCCTGATGCCTGAGACAATGGGCCTCATTCATCAATATCTTCCTAAGTTTTTTCTTAAATTTGTTCTTGAGAAATGTCCTAAGAAAAAGTCTGCGTCAGGATCATGACGTGTTCTTAAACTGCAGAACTGTTTGTGTGTAGATTCTGTTCTTACCAAATCCCAAAGATCAAATCCCAAATAAGAAAACATTGGTGAATGTCAGAATCTAAATGGAAACTACGTAAGTGGGTTTTAAGAAGAAATTTCTCCTTAAGAACTGTTGGTGAATGAGGCCTGATAGAATAGATGTGCACTAAAAGTTTTGGTCTAAAACATTTTTTTTTTATTTACGGTATATTATTTGCATTTAAGACATCATGACAACTGGTTCATATTCACCGCTGCTGTAAAGTCAACGACTTTCTCTGCAGTGGACCATTTCAAACCATTTGGACAACTTTGTTTACATCTCTGAATTAACTACACAGAACTTGAAAACTGGTGAAATTCCCAGCTAAAAATTTCCTACCATGCGAAAAAATAAAACCTACTTCTATTCTCTCCTGGACCTCCTGTAGCTGCTCTGCATGTGTTCCTTCGTCAGCTTGCTCCATGTGCGAGCTGCCCAGGCTGTCAGGATCCTGGTTCAGTGGCTGGTAATAATATCCCCCACTGTCTTCATCGTCGTCCCCGGCTCCTCCGTCCTCCTCCTCCATATCCTCACCACTCCACTCCTCTGCCACGGCCGTGTCTGAGGTTCGGTCCTGCACCAGATCCTCCTCGGAGCTCGGTAACACTCTTTCTGGACCCATGTCTCGAGCCCTCCCCACTTCCATCAACGGGCTCCAAGTCTAGCCTGCAGTCCTGCACATGAAATAAAACAGGAGGTTTTTCTCTGATACTTGAGTATCAGAACTTCAGTTCCTGCCATTTCTTTTTACTCACTGATCCTCAAATGGAAATGTTAATACTAAATGCTTTCTAGACAATCAGTTTGCCCAATAGGAACTATTTTTTTAGCCCTCTCTGCTTCTAATGCACACATACAACAGTACAGACAGCCACATGAGACAGAGTGAATGTTCTTTAATTCACCTTAAGATATTTCACTCCACCAAACGATCAGTATATGTGGCCATAGCTTTCAAATATTATTTTTGAGGTCAACATTTCACTGTACAAATCCCAAAGAAGTCCACTTTTTACACTGTTAACAGGTTACAGTGTTAGAAATGTACCGATATTTTTTCTAACAATGCCAATACGTAACGATTTAGGCAGAAAAAGGCACCACATCTACCTGCATTAGCACTATGGAGAAATGTGACATATACAGGAAAAGTAAGTATTTAAGTAATCATTGAATTCCAATTTGAAAAGGACAATTTTTAGGTTCTCATTCAATCTGCATTTATGTACATAATATTTGCCATAATATATTAGATTAACAAAAACGTAGATTTTGATTCACATTATACACAGAGTAATAAATATTTTGCACTACATTTAACTTTTACACTTGTAGCGAAAACAAAATTCTCTACATCTATCCAAAACAATTAGGCATGAATACAATAAAAAACAAATGATCAATAGCCTATATATCATTCTGACAAAACATAATTTTCATTTATATCATTTCTATATTTTTCATTACATTTTTAACAGAATACATCCAATGAGAGCACCTCCTGAACGGTCTGCACTTCCAGAGTACAAAAAGTATGTCATCAAAAATCGGTGAGGAATATCTGTCAACGTATGTCCCGATACCGATATTTTCTAAGTAAAAATCCACCGATAACGATTCGAATCCGATATCATCGTGCATCCCTAACCGGTGTTGCATCCGATTCAGTTCCCCTTCACGAATCAAGTCCTCAGGAGTTGCAACTCAGCGCCCACCAACACTGCCACTACGGGAAGCGAAAAGGGTCAGAAAGGGTGTAAATCTGCGCTTTGACGCCGACTGGATTTTTAATTTGAAGCATAAGACTTTGGGCCCTTTTAGCTGCGTGAATGCGCGCGCCTGACTATGATTTATCGGGGGAGGTGAATCTGAGGGGCAACTGAATCGGATGCAACACCGGTTTGAGTACCGGTATCAAGAAATTAGGCTTTGTATTACTTTGTATTGCATCGCCGAACGCTAGTGAGGATTGTCTATAGATAAATAAGAGTTTTCCATTAACCTGCCTGTCCTCCTGCGGGACATGCCTGACTTTGGGTTTAAATTATCTGGATAAGAGCCACGAGCGTGCTCAACAGCTAATGGTAATATGGGGTTTGGGACGCAGCCTTAGCCTGATCATTTAAGCCCAAAGCCCTGTCTAAAACGAGGCTAAAGTCAGCTTCCTATACTCCAGCTTCTTGTCCGAATTTTCCCGTTCCACCTTAAATGGTGCAGCAGTTCGTTTAAGGTGGAACGAGAAAATTCGAATAAGAAGCTCAATTCAGCTCCGCCTGTTTAGAAAAACATGACCTGTTTAAAAGACCGAACAGACTGGCAGCTCGCATCAAAACAACACTGCCACAGCTGTAACAGGCTACACGATACCAGTTCATACCTGCGCTGCCGTCGCCCTCAACAGACACAGCAATCTCTCACTTTCTCCCCTCGTTTTCTCTCTCAGACAGTTTTTATTTGATCAGTTTACAGAAAAACGAAGCTCACTGTACGTCGATACGCACTATTTGCTTCCTCAGGGAAGCGGAACTGCGTCAGGTTCAGCGTCGACATTCACTGGGCTGAATCCCAATTGGCTCTCCACTCCCTACTCCCTACGTAGTGCCCTAGCTAACTAAGTTAGGGAACTTTGCTTTATTCGACAAATAGTGCGCTGTATGTCCAGCAGAGACTTGTGTACGCGTGGATAAACCCCAAATGGCTCACTGTTAGACATGGCATACAGTTTTGGATGCAGGAGGCATTATTTTTAAGATCCACCTAGTGCACTACGTCAGGATACATTTGAGATTCAGCTTCAAACAACAAACAAACAAAGATAAATACGCTGCTTCAAAATATTACATAGCTAAAATTATTGCCTCAAACGTGTTATTGTTGTTGTTTGACCAGAGCTGGTTTAAGTGGAGTCTGGCCACATATTTATCCTGTTATGTCAAAAACTTGACAGCGAAACGCCAGAGGGCGCCCGCGAGTGAGTCCACAATGAATGGGGGTGAATCAGAATCAGAACCAGCGTTAAGCTTTATTGGCCAGGTATGCTGACACATAAAGGGATTTGGTTATGGTCACAGGAGCTCACAGTGCACAGTATCAAACATTTACATGTAGTGAATGAAATAAATATAAAATAAAATACAATACAATAAGATAAAATACAAAAAAAAATAATAATAAAGATAAAATAAAACATGCATTCCTACCATCACTCACTCACACACACACACACACACACACACACACACACACACACACACAGTCATATCTGTAACCTTTACATTTTGCAAAGTATGGGTCTGAAGTTAAAGTGCTGAGTGCAGCAGCAGTTAAAGGGTGTACAGTGGCAAAGAAAGGGATCAGTGAGGCGACAGTCAAGATAAGTGGGGTAATAAGGCAGGTAAGTAAGATGCTAGAATAAACACTGGTCTGTGACGGTAGTTTCAGAGGATGGAGTTGAGTTTGAGAGAGTAATGGCTTGTGGGAATGAAGCTAAACGGCTATAAATGAAAAGTTACAATAGTTTCTACCCACTTGTCCATGAGCTTCCTTTGATTTTAGAAAGTAGAAGGATTCATTTCACTAAAAAGGCAAAGATAAACCTGCCTGTATGTTTCTTTTTATTCTACAGCAAAGAGGTTTTTGGCAGTGGGATGCTAGCATTACGGCTACTGTGTGCTGATTGGTTGGTGAGCGGAGCAGCTCATTGGCTGAGTGAAGCGGTTCGCACTCACAGGTGTCATTAATGCACGAGACACCATATAAAGCCCTATAACTGTTCAAAAGCACTCAAAAATATAACAGCGTTTTGCTGAAATGCTCCATATTGACCCATTCACTTTTGACCCCCTCTAGCGTCCAGCGAACGTGTAAGACATTACAGAGTGTCAGCAGAGAACTTGTAGAGGACAATTCCCACTCCGCAATGTCTTCAGGGGTTTCTCAAACGCTAGAGGGCGCTCCCGAGCGAGTCCACAATGAATGGGTTGATATGGAGCATTTGAGCACAATCATAGTTCATAAATGCTTAAACAGTTTTAATGTAAACGAATACAATCATTTCCTGAACACAGAACAGCATAAAACATTTTAACACCGCTGTTATATTTTTAAGAGCTTTTAAACTCGAGTTATAGGAGTTTAAAACGGGGCCTCATGTACATTCATGACGTCAGTGAGCGCGAACAGCCAATGAGCTGCTTTGCTCGCCAATCAGTCAGCACTCACTAGCAGTAATGCCCGCCTCCTGCTGCACAAAACCCGTTTGCTGCAGAAAAAGGAAAAAATATAGGTGAGATTTCTTTGTTTTTTTAGTGAAATACATCCTTCTACTTTCTAAAATTAAAGGAAAGTTCTGGTTCAGTGATTAGAAACTATTTTAACTTTTCGTTTTTAGCCGTTGAGCTCCATTCACTCCCAATCCTTGAGGACTCCCTCGCGGGCGCCCTCTGCTGTTTAGCAGTCCTGTTTTGATATAACGGGGGGGATAGGAAGGGACCGGGCTCCTCATAATCCGGCTCTGGTGTCCGCTCTCCTCTCTACACACTCTCTGGTTTGACTGCTGCTTGTGGCGCCAGGTGGCGCTCGTGCCCAGAGGGAGGTGGCGGGCATCTCAGAGCAGAAGTAGAGTCTTTTTAGGAAACAGACGACATTAAGTTAGGTGGTCTTTTTATCCTAAACCCCCGAAACAATGCACATCTACTTCTGTGGCAGTATCCGCGGAGGGAGGCAGGATGTGGAGGTTTATCAGAGAATTGTGAAGAAATTACAGACTTACGGGAAAGTTCTGACGGAGCACGTGAGCCACGCTGAGCTCTCTGAGAAAGGTAGCAGTACAGTTAGGAAAGCGCTCCGGAAAGAGGAACTCCACCGAATTTTCAAAATTTCTGGATAGTTAAATTGTTAACATGTTAACAAAGTCATTCGGTGTGTTTTGATGTGAAATGCTCTGCTCTAGAGAAACTTACTGACTCATGCACGCATAAAATGGCTATATTTGTGTTGTAGTTCCTGTCGCCCCCACTGTAAAGAAGCCAGAGTCAGTTAGTTTCTCTACAATGAACCATTTTACATCAAACTGCTCTGAATAACTGTTTACATCTCAAGGACTGAATTATTGAGAAATTTTGGGTAAATATGGTGGAACTCCCCTTTAATAAAGAAAGAAGGAAAATAAAATAACAAAATAATAAACCCTGCTGAGACTGAAAAAGGCACTGCTATGGCCTATATTGCTCAAGACGATGTATTCCTGATTTAGGTGAGGATGCTACGCTGGACGGAGACAAGGCTATCCATGACCGAGATATGGAGTGGCTGACCTCGTCTGATGGTGAGATTTTGTAATAGGAGAACGTGATAGTTACTGATGAGCAATGCAGAAAATATGTTAGCCCGTGCCAGTGGTCACCAACCCTGGTCCTGGAGATCCAGCAGAGTTTAGTTCCAACCACAGTCTGCCACACCTGCTCCAGCGAATGAACTACTTCAGACGTCTTTGCTTGGCTGGATCAGATGCGTTAATGTTCGGTAAGGAGTCAGCAGGAAACTCAGCAGGAAAGTAGATCTCCGGAAGGGTGGGGGGAGAGGGGGTTGGTGACCGCTGTCCTGTGCCTTTACTCACACCTCAGCCAGCCTGAAAGAAATGTGTGTGATTGCTTGGGACCACTGTAATACACTGTACACCCACAAGTTTGTAGACACCTGCTCATCCGACGTTTCTTCTGAAATGATGGGTGTTAATAAGGGGTTTGTGCCCCTTTGCTGCGGTAACAGTATCTACTCTTCTGGGAAGATTGTTAAAACATTGCTGTGAGGATTTGATTGCAGCTACAAGAGCGTTAATGAGGTCAGCTACTGATGTTGGATGATCAGTTCTGGATCATTCAAATTCATCCCAGAGGTACTGGATGGAGCTCCATCAATACAGAGAACACAGTTCCACTTCCACTGGAGGGCTTTGTACCCCTCTGGCTGACACTTGGCATCGGGCATGGTGAACATAGGTTTGTGTGCACGTGTTCCAGTACACCCAGTTCTGTTGGTCAGTGCTAGATTGTACAAGCTGTGTGTACTCAGTTGAACACCTTTGTCAGTAATGGGTCCACCTTAAAGTAGCTGAAGTGTCTAGATACTTTTGGACAAATAGTGTATCGATCATGATAAAATCACTGCAGTAAGTGTTTCATGTGATCAGCAAGAAAGCTTTAACTGACCACTCTGAGGAAGATTCTTACCCTCATCTTCTCTTTGTTTGTTTCCTTGTCCAGTCATAGTGGCTGAGGTGACGCAGCCGTCTTTGGGGGTAGGTTATGAACTAGGTCGAGCCGTAGCCATGAACAAGAGGATTCTGTGTCTGTTCCGACCCTCATCTGGCAGAGGTAGTTCTAATCCATGTGTCTTATTTAATATGAGTCAAAATGCTGTATTTGCCCTCCTGCAGCTCTACACGTACTACACACTTCAGCCTATTTCTCCCTGATATGCAGCTCTCTCTGCTCTACATTTATGGTGTTGTAGATAAAGATTTATTTAAATCCCTGGCAAAATCTTGAACACTTTTGCTTTTTATACATATACTATTCTGGTCCACTTAATATTGTTCATGATTCCCTCTAGTGCTGTCTGCCATGATACGAGGGGCTGACTGCGGGTCAGAAAGCTCTCTTTTTAAGGTGCTGGATTACACAGAAGAGGAGGTCGAAGGTATCCTGGAGAAATACTTCGGTGAACTCACCAAAAAATAACACTGAAATCACCATTACTGTTATACATTATCCAGCTCTAAGGACAAAGTTCAAGAGGCACTCAGCTAACCCACTTTTCTGATTAGATTACTTTGCCACATGATGGATTTTTAAAATGCTGAAAGTAATTAAGACATGTATTAATTAGGAGAAAAAGAAGTATAACAATGTAAATGTTGTGTTTCTGTCTTTTCTATTAAAGTTTTGCTGTTTGTTATATAACAGTAGTCAAGTGCTGTCAGTATTGATTACATAAGCAACGTACTGATAATTCTGACAATTAATGGAATAAGCATGAGGTTTTTTTTTTACACAGCCTGAATAATAAAAATAGACTTTAAAAAACAATAATGAACCAATCAGAGCCTTTTAAAGGCTATATAGATATCTATATATATTCCAAAGTTCTATGTAAAACATTACATGGTTAAAAAAAATGCATACAAATGAGTGTGTCCATCAGGCTCTGTTTCTTACTGTAAGAAATTCCAGTAGGAAGATTGGAAATATGAGTTATAATCAGGCAAATGATTATCTAATGTCAAATTTCGAATCATTGTTGATTCTTCGAGAATTTGAGTTTGATAAAAATTCATATTTAATACTGTTATCGCGGCAGCCCTACAGATGTATTATGTCAACAAAATTTAATGGGAGGCATTATTGAGCACTATTAGTAATAATGGACGAAAGCGAACTATGAAAGAAGGCACCGTATCTGGGCAAAGCAGTGTTGTCCAGTAATCCTTCTTGGACACTTGTTTCATATTTCTCCTCTCTGACCAGTGACTGGCAGGAGTAACAGATTTATAAATGCTTACTCAAATGTAAACCATTGTTGTGGAATTGGAATGGATATTTTGCAGTGTCCTTTTAGACCGTGTTTACATTAGATTAACTGGCTGACGGATAAACGATGTCCATAAATAGTAAAGTTAAAATAATAAAAAAATAAATTTGATTTAAATATGAAATGAAATAAGCAAGCAAAAGTACTCTTGATAACTGGTGATAAAATGTTAGAAATTATTGTTTGTAAGAAAATACCCCACAGTTTATTTAAACAACAGAGATATGAAATGAATTTTTAGACAGGAAAATTAAAGTGGGGCTGAATGGGTTTACAGTTCTAAATAAATGACTGCAACCCATCTGGAAATAATTTATATTAGGGTGGACGATTTGGCAAAAAAGATCAAATTTACAACACTTAAAAGTATTTTTTCATTATTCAATTCATATTTTGATACAATGTAGTGTTACATTTAAAAATAGTTGCAGCATTATTTTTTGTTCAATATTTCATGTATGACACTTCAGTAATTTCAGTTAAATAAGATTAATTATATCCTCTGTTAAAGAAACGCTATTGGTCAATGTTCTTTAAGTGCTAGATATCGAAGATATGCTCGGGAAAAAATTACAATAGAAATAATTATCTTTCAGTATTGAATGAACCAGTTAAATAACTTCCATACAAAAGGAAATCAGAATAAATTGTAGATCTGAATTCTCTTCAAACACACAGTCATGTACAAAAGTTTGGACACCCCAAATGACGTTCTGTTGATTTTCTAAGTGAAAATAAGTTCTCTACAGAGAACACACATCTGCACACTTTAATGCACAGTTTCTGTTTATTTGGCTTTTTTTTTCTCATTTCCATAATGTGACTTCTTCCTCCCCTGTTTAAATGCTCTAAGCCAGAATTGGTACTGTTGCAATTTCTTTGAATGAATGTTGGCCCACGTGTGCCGGACTGATTGTATGAATTCTCCATGGCCCTTTGCAGGCCATCTGCCGCTGGGAGAAACCTCCTCACTGGTGATTAGGCAGCAGTGACCAAAGATCATTTACATCATTTTTTAGCACTTTTAATATACAGTTTTCACATTTCCAACTCGAGACATCTGGACCAGCTCAGTTCTGATTCAAATTCTCCTGCAGCATCACTGCTAGCACTGAGCCATTCCACTGTTCACTAGCTCAAGTACTAATAAAGTCCTGCAGCTAAATCAGGTTTGGAAACTTGGTCAGAGACAGCCCAAAGAATATTAGGCATTAAGTGAACTATCCTCACATGGCTGCTTCAGACAAATACTGCTTCAACAGGCGAAAGGCTTATGTGCAAGCAACTTAATTAATGTTACACTTAAATGGCTGTAAGGAACTTAAAAAGCTAGCTAGCTTCCTTACAGTAAAAATGGGAAACTTTCCTTTTTGATCTGGAAGTAAAATGAAGGCCAGCGTACCAATATCAGGGCTTTTATACGTTTTCTTATGCACAAAAAATGTTTAACACTAGTATTGATTTAGCTTATCCCTATTTTATAGTGGGGATACTAGGCTAAACTAGCATTAGCATATATTAGCTATTAGCAGATAGCCTAAATCATAGCCTCAGATGAGATAAACGTTAGATACACCGAGTTGTTACCGTGTAGCTACACTCAATCGCCATTTTATCTGCTACATCTACCATATAGGTGCACTTTGTAGGTTTACAGTAACTGAATAGTTCATCAGTTTCTGCATGATTTATCAGTTGCCCAATAGAAAGGGACCACCACAGGACCACCACTGCTCAGTTATTAGCTGGTGAACCATTCTTAGCACAATAGTGATACCAGCATGGTAGTAGGAGGGTTGTGTTTGGTGTTGGTACAACTGTATCAGATACAGCACCGTTGGTCAGTTTCTGGTCACTGTTGGCTGGATGTTTTTGGTGAGAAGATAATTCTCAACCCAGCAGTGACACTGACCTGTGTAAAAACTCCAGCAGCTCCACTGTGTCTGATACACTTGTACCAAAACACACTAAATGCACCACCATGCTGTGCTGAGAAAGGTCCACCACCCAAATAATACCACTGATCAGTGGTGGCCTCTTTCCAGTGATGAAAGGGGGTTGAAAATTGTGCAGATGGGCTACAGTCAGTACTTATACACCTACCAAGTGCACCTACACACTTAACCGAATATACAGTCGGGCACCCCTGGTTGAATTACTAATTTAAAGTAAGCTAATACATCCTTTACATACAACACATTTCTGCACATTTATTGCACAATTACTATTTATTTGCTGATTTAATACATTTTTGTACCGTATGTTTTATTTTTTTCTTAACTCAAATAGAAATAATGCATTAAGAATTGCAGAAAATGCTATATTGAACTTTGTGTCCTGTGGAAAAATGAGTTATTTTCACTTAGATTGATATTTAGTAGATATTTTCACCACCACTGTGAAGAGTTCAGACTCTGTAAGTTTCTCTAGAATGGAGAATTTCACATCAGACCACTCTGAAAGACTGGGTTTACATCTGAACTGTTTCTTTATACAGAAATTAGGAATACATTGTGAAATTCCCCTTTTAAGTTGTGCACTATATTATGTAAGCAGATATAGAAAGGAAGGAGCAGCATATTTGGCTGAAACCAGTTCTGATTTGTGGGCCTGCGTCTAGTTGATTTGGTTTTATAACCTACAGTTATAGTTTACAGTTTGTGTAAGCGCTGATTATCCATAGTACTGCAAAAAGCAATACTCAGAATCTCATCGTAATGAGATGAATATGAGGCAGAATCTCCTCCGTGACAGCAGCAGGGAGGGTGAGCGTGCTGCACCACGCCGCACTGTCAGGCCCTCTGAGTGAGTGATACTAGCACTTCTATCAGCAGCTAATGTGGACTCCAGTTTCAGTTTATTCCTGGGCTCGATGCTCACTTCCTGTGCGGGATATATAGTGTCAGGGTGGGACCAGGCCCCAGTTCATTCCAAGCAAGAAGTGATTTGGCAGAATCTGAGGCAAGATGAAGTCGAGGGAACCGTAACAGTGAGAGAAGCCCTGTACGCATGAACGGTAGTGACGTTTGGTAAGATGCTAGTTTTGCAAATCTTTGCATGGCTGTGGAGATGTAAAGAAACAAAGTGATTACTTTTGTCTAAATCTGACAGCAGATGTAACCCAGACACTTATTGCATGGCTGATACAAAGTTCCCACTGTTTTCCTGCCAGAGCTTAATTGATGGCTGTGATACTTGAATCTAATCTACATAAATCCCCAGATCTGGTTGTGATTCTCTGAATTTATGTAAGGAAAGTTCATACATTTCATGCGCAACAAAAAAATGGGTAAAATCAGATTTTCAGAAATTGTAAGTGCTAAAGGGGAATCCCACCAAGTTTTCAAAACTTCAAACATTGAAAGTCATTCAGAGTGTTGCAGAATGTTTCATTGTAGAGAAATTTACCAACTGTGATCTCTTTGCAGTGGTGTTGATAGGAAAAAGGCATTGTGATGTCCACAACGCAAACATAGCCATTTCATTTACTATTCAAAACCACCAGTGAGCCTATACAAGTTTTTATGTGTAATGTTAATTATGATAAAGTAGTTTTCTTTGCCTTACAAAGCTCTGCGTGGATTTTAAAAATACAATTGAGGCCAAAACCCTCTAACAAAACTATCAAACACACTATTGACACAGCTGCATATAAGTGATAACTTTCTGTGAGGGAGCTTTTAGAAGTATTAAACTCTTCAGAACATCTGGTTCCTGTCACCGCCACTGTGAACAATGCTGGCTTGGTAAGTTTCCTAAAAATGAATCATTTCATATTAAGCCACTCTGAATGACTGTTAACCATTTTATTTACATTTGAATCATTTAATTCTACAGATGTAGACATTCCCCATTAAATGTAAGTCAAGTCTGCTGGTGCATTAGAGGAGGTCCTTTTTGTTGTTGAAACTCTTTCCATTTTATTTGTTCAGTCACGTCACTTTGCTCTCATTATGGCTGTGGTAACAAAGAAAAGGACAGTGTGACCCTATCAACCTGGACTCGTTTTCCCCCAAAAAATCTCAGCACAAAGATGATTCTTAAATAGTAGAGCGAGCATCACACTCAACACTCTCTCTACCAATGAAGAAGATCTTAACACTTAAGATTCTTTTGGGAAACAAAAGTGTTTTGTATTATGAAATGCCACCACTAGTCACATATTCTGCATTTTTCCCCATATATTTTCTGATATGTTATTTTGAACAGAATTATTCCTCAGTTAACACTTTAATACACTCAACTTTGTATCAAAAATACACATTGCAAAGCTCAAGTACTCATTACACCAATAAATTACAGCAAATAAATTAGATTTACGTTTAAATACTGTTAATCACTGCATCAGTGAACATTTTCACAAGCTTTTTTGTGCTGTTTTTATCTTAAAAATAGTACTGATTAACAATTTACCACATTAACTATGGCAAGGAAAGTAAATCTTACAACATTTGTACAAAAATCACTTTTGCACATATATAAAACATCACAAATATTCCATAATCATTTATATTGCAGTCATCTCCAAATGAGCATATTCTACATTTTGGAGATTGTGAAGACTCTTCACTATCTCTTTGTGGCAAATACAGCTAGCTGTTAAAGATTAGAAGAACCATCTTAATAATGTGGATTTAAACTGTTTTTACACACAGATTAGTACAAGTCTTTATGTATAAATCTGAATAATATGATACTGTGATATATTGCAGTCCCAGGTCCATTTGAGTACACACCTCGTAACAAAAGCTCCTAGAGTCCTTCTGTTCCCACACACGTCGGTTAAAGTGGAATTCCACAGATTTTTTAAAATTTCTGCATAATTCACTTGTTGAGATGTAGACACAGTCATTCAGAGTGGTTTAATGTGAAATAGCTCATTGTAGAGAAACTTACATGCTCAGATTTTCTTTATAATGGTTGTGATAGGAACCAGGGGTCATGAGGTCTAGAGCTCAAATATAGCCATTTTATTTACTATCCAAAATGACAAGGGAACCTAAAAAAGCTTAAAACAGTGTCTCAGACATTCATAACCAACTGATATAATAATTTTGTGAGGTAGTTTTAGTGGCATTAAACTCTTCGGATGTCTGGTTCCTATCATGATTCTGACTGAAGTGTTTTTCTAGGATGGAGCGTTTCACATCAGACCACTCTGAATGACTTTGTTTACATCTTAATCTTTGAATTCTGTAGAAAACATTGTCTAAAAAGTGGAATTCCGTTTTAATACTTTTTCAGTGCTTTATGCTCCACTCCACTCTCTTAGTCAATGATGGTCACTCAAGTGCTATTCCCTTTTTTCTGAGGAGTGCTTCTTGTTCATGGTCACTCAGCGAGTGTCCCTGATACTACCTTAAATCTGCTCCTTCACCTCTTGATTGTCAGCCTACACAGCAGGTCATTTTGGTCAGAAACAGAAGCATTTCCCTTTTTGGTTCCATATACTGTACACTTGTATATGGTTGGGATGTCGGAGTTCTTCTTGATCTTCATCTTCGGTGAGAGAAATCAAGCAGTCTTTGTCTTGTATCCCAGCACTCATGTAAAAAGAGTGGCTTCATATGACCTCAGTGTTTAGTCTCTTCTTCTCCAGCTCAGGGGGGGGAGCAGGGGAGTGGAGGAAGCTGATCTTGCAGTCCTGCTGAGTGGAAACTAGGTGCCGCTGCTGCGTGCAGCATTGCTGGAATGAGTTTTGTTGGGAGGCTGGTGTTCTACACCGGCTGCAGGCGCAGAAGGCCTGCCAGTGTCCTCGTAGCACCAGCCCAGCTGTAAGTGCCACCACAGCCAGAGTCAAGCCCCCCAGTACCAGCAGGGTTATGAGCTGCTCCTGAGTGAGTCCTGCCGCTGCATTCTGTGTCACCACCTCCTTCACGGAGATCTTCAGCAGGCGGCCCTCGCCCCCACCGGCTGTAATCCCCTGTGAGTTGTTTGCTAAAGTGGGAATATTAGGCTTGTTCTGGGTGACCCTATTGACTCCACCTCCTCCTCCTCCTCCCCATCCAGAGTTCCTATGTGGGGCTTGCGTTTGGGGCACCTTATCCCACAGTGGAACTTCACAAGTTCGGCCAGTGTAACCAGGGGGACACAGGCAGTGGAAGGCGGTGACGCGGTCTATACAGCGGCCTCCGTTGAGGCAGGGCTGACTGGCGCAGTCATCCAGGTTGACGGTGCAGAAGCGGCCTGTGAAACCAGCAGGGCACAGGCACGAAAAGCGGTTCACTCCGTCCAGACAGGTGGCACCATTGGCACAGGGACGCATTAGGCAGTCATCCATGTTGGTCTCGCAGCGAGGCCCCGTGAAACCAGCCAGGCATCGGCAGGAGAGCTCTGGTGCGTAGCCGCCCATATCCTCACACAGACCGCCGTTCTTACAAGGGGACCTGAGAAACATTACAATAGCACAAGTCAAGCCCATTTTAAAGGAGATGTTAAGATGTAAACACAGTTATTCAGAGTGGTTTGATATGAAATGTTCTGTTCGAGACAAACTGAGTCAGAATTGTCCACGTTGGTGGTGACAGGTGTGTTTAGAGCCTCTGAAAGCTCTTCACAGAAAGTTATTACATGAAATAGCTGTAAATACGCTCCCTGACCACCTAAGACATTGTTTTTTAGTTTTGAGAGAAAGTTTTTAGCTAAAACATTTTTCATGCTGATGGAGACTCGTCATACGTATAAAAACTCAGAAGGCACATGTAGGTTCATTCATTAAAGTCAATAAAGTGTCTATATTGGTGTGTGGTTGCATTGTGACCCCTGGTTCCTATCACCACCACTGTAAAGAAATCTGAGTCAGAAAGTTTCTCTACAGTTATCCATTTCACATTAAACCACTCAGTCAACAACTGAATTATGTAGAATTTTTCAGTGTAATTCCCCTTTAATTTCAGAAGTCAGTGTGAGTCTACAGCTGGGATCGTCTGATGGAGTCAAATCTGACCTTTTCCAAGCCCAACGCACTTTTTCGTTCTGTTTGTTTTGGCAGGGTAAAGCACTGAACAATGTTTTAGCATCACCTGAGCTTTCTAATTTTGATATTCATCTTTGTGTAAGAATTAATATATTTGGATAATTGTGGGGAAACAAAAACAACAAAACTAACTTTGGTCAAAATGAACTATTTTAGATGATGACACTGGCGCCAAGAGAAATCCGTAGTTTTTTGTGCAGAATGCGGCTGCCACTTTTGTAGAGCTAAACTAACGCTGGAGCTGGATGCTGATGGAGGCTCATCATCTACACAGGGTATTTTCTCTTCAGTGGGCGATGTGCCAACATGGTAGTTTGTCAGAGAAATATCTTTTCACTGTTTCTGGGCCTAGCTACGATCAGCGAGAGCAGTTCTGATGCATTGTCCTATCTTGTTGAAATGTCCTATCATAGCGTTTATTTTAGGTTGCTATATTTTGATAGCCTAATCGACCTTATCAGAAAATCATACCAGCATTAAAAGTATACGAAGGATATTTTGATAGCCTAAATCTCCATTTCAGAGGGTAAATAATAACATTAAGCTGAGTCTGTATTACACACTTAAAGTAAGGCTGAATTAAGTGGCCAAACAAAAGAAAACATTGGAAATGATATGTGCATGTATAGTAGGACTGCTTGATAGGGTGAGAACTTGGTGCACTGGTAGTGCTATTTCTGCCTTCTCAGTCACATTCTTAACAACACATCCATGGCAATGTGCTCACATTAAGGTTTCTTTTCAAATACTTACTCAAGGGTACATTTTAACCCCCTGTTGACAAATAAACTTACATTTTACAGAACTGTTTGCCTGTTTGTTTCTCTGTCTTTCCATGAGGGAACAAAACAAATCTCTGAATAGTGATTTCAGTACTGAAATACTCTCATCTGGAGCAGTTAACTGAATGCTCAAGTATCTGTGCACACCTGTTAAAGTGTCCCCCGAATATAAGGGATATTCTAGTATGTTCTTGATTAGATGTTTACTTACATGAACCGTCCTTCATAGCAATTGTGTTTTTTTTATTAGCCTCGACTGTTTCAGATTGATTAGACAGTTTGACTATATAAGAAGGAGTCTGGCCCAAAGAGCATTTGCTCTGTAAGAATTTGGCCCCAGGCCAAATCTGCCTGATAACCCCTGCTCTACACCCTGTGCTGACAACATTGAAAAAACAGCAAAGGCTTTAATAAACTTTTATCCTGATTAGGAAATAAAATGATGGAAATCAAAATGAAGTTGTTTATTTGGGCATGGTAACTGCTCATGAATTTTGAGCCGTTCTAATGTGAAATTTGTTCTTCCAGTAGTTCACAACGCCTCATCATTTCAGTGACTATGTGGTTTCCCTGGAAACCACTCGGTCTGTCAGTTTTAGTCCACTTGGGGAGAACAGTAGGGGCCAGGCCGCAGTCTGTTAGTATTAGCGAGCTCTTACAGGGCCAGTAATGAGCCCATTGAATTACATGATTGCTCTCCAGAGGCTGTGAATTGACCAGGCTGTTGCATTGCTTGTGCCAGTGAGCATGAGCACAGCTATTGCTGCGTTGATGCAGCGATACAGCAGAAACAAAGAAAAGGCATTCAAGTAAACACACAAGCTATTGATTTGTGAAAAATGATTATATATCAAAAAATATTGTCCTGAACTCAGGCGTTCTTTATGCTTAGCCTACAGTGTCTTGAAAAACAACCACTTAGACATCCAGTGGTCTCTGGTTAAATAATGAATTGACAGATTTGTTTGCATAATGAGTTTGGAGATAATTTGCTTTAAACGTAATAACACTTACTTGGTTTTATGGCACGGCCCAGTCTTTAACTCACAGTTTTTCCCATGGAAGCCTTCAGGACACAGACAGTTGTACTCTCCTGCTTCGTTTAAAGAACAGGTAGCCCCGTTCTGACATGGCTGCTCTTTTTCACATACATGAACATCTGCATACATAAAGAGAGAAGGGAATAAACTGCATCAGACCCGAAGTATATAGTTTCAGAAATTACCATCCACAAGGGGGTGCATCCATCTTTGTTAATCTTGGTTCACGTTAATCTTCTACCTTTGTCACAGAAGCGGCCGGTCCAGCCGTCCTCGCAAGTGCACTGCCAGGGCTGGTGGCAGGAGCCGTGAACACAGCCTGGCATTCGCGCACAGTCGGCGCAGAAAGGCCCTCCCCATCCTGGGTCACATCTGCCAAATAGTCAGAGGTCAGACTCATCAGGTTTTTCCTGCTATATGCTGATTTTACTCTAGAAGCCTTCTTTGCTCCCCAGCTGTTACTATTTCACACCCAGACACAACTCATACGTCACATTGATGAAGCAAAAAGCATTTTCTGACCACATTTTCTTTGAGTAGTGTATGAGTTATTACAATCTGCAGATGTCTTTGATTTACAGTTTACACTGGTGACAACCCTTCTTAATAAAAATGTCCCCTGGCCACAAGTTTCAAAAGCATGGGAATGGGATCTTAATGCATGGTCACAACTAAGTAAAGCACTGGAATGAGGTAATTAAGTCATGATCATGATTTAGTAAGGTGTGGGAATGAGAAAATGCAGTTTTAGCCACAACTTAAGGCATGGAAATGAGACAGTTGTGAAAGTTAAGCCATGGTAACAAAATAATCCAATGCTTAAGGAAAGGGTGGGAACGAGATAATTAAATTTTAATAGTTAGGTCATGGTCATGACTTAGTAAGGCGTGGAGATAATTAAGTCACGAAAGTTAATCATGGCCGTATCTTAGTAAGGTCTTAGTAACATAATTGAGTTGTCATAGTTAGGTCATGGCCATGACGTACTAAGGCATGGGAACAAAATAAGTTGTGATAGGTTGTGGCTACAAGTTAGAAATGGATGGGAACAAGATAATTAAGTTGTGATAATTAGGATGTATCTTTAAGTTAGGAAAGTATGGGAACAAGATAACTAAGTTGTGATAGGTTGTATCTGTGAGTTAGGAATGCATGGGAACAAGATAATTAAGTTATGATAGGTTGTGGCCATGACTCAGTAATTAAATTTTCTGACTGGATACTGTGAACATCTAATATGCAGATATTAACCAGTAATTATATTACTACTTTATGTTATTTTTCACTGCCTGCCAGTGCACAGTGACAACCTACAGACATTTTAGAGAGAGGCAAAAGCCATTAATGCTAAATTTTGATGGAAGATTTGTGGAATTTTCTCTTTTAAATGATATGATGAATGATGCATAATGTGGCCAGAGACATGAATAAACAAGGTAAAAAGGTCAACTTTGATTTCAGGCTTATTAGTTTAAAAGAATGAAATTGAAGGCAATGGTTTATTAGGATTATTAGGCAATGGTTAACAATAGAGTACTGCGGTTCAGTTTGATGCTAATGAGGCTACCAGTAATGGTGGGCCAGGGCTGAGAGCACCTCATTCGATTCCCTCACTTGGGCTTAATGATCTCAGTCAGCTCCTACTGACCAGATATTCTACTCCAGATAACAGCAACTTCAGATATATATGTTGTAGGCCTACAAACAGTATGACTGGTGTGAATGGTCAGTCACATAGATAGTGTTTTCTCTTTTTTTTCTCTTTTTTGTGAAGTCATATATGATCTCAAATTGCTCAATTTTTCCCCCAAAACTCTGAATGACTGACATGATTCCTGCTTTGCTGTGAATTTAACTACAGTATAATTAATAGGTTTGTTAGCGTCTGCCTTAAGCCTCTGCCTTATGTCACATTACCACAGTAAGGGAAGCTCAACATACACAAGCAGTACACTAACAGAAACCCCATATCCGTGTGTCACAGTTACCAGGCTAAATGTCTTGTGATTAAGCATGAATTTTGTTAAGCTGCCATGTTGAAGCCCATGTCAGTGGTCAGTCATTCGTGAAACTGTTGAGAGCTATGAGCAGAAACTTGGCTTGTTATTCACTGACCTGCATTCACCATCTTCGGCACACTTCCCGTGGCCAATTTCACACGAGCAATTCACAGCAGGAGTTGGAAACGTGTCTGTTGAAGAAGAAATGGCAAGTTACTTTAAGTCTAGAGTGATCCAGTATTCGGAGTCTGCGTAAAGGTAGCCTTTAGACAGTGCTTTACTCAGCGAAACCATTCATTCAAGCATTTCTGTGTAATATTTTACATGTAGAATTACAAAGTTAACCCCTCAAATAACTCACCGGTGAGCCCAAAGTAATGTTACACACTTCTATAATCTAAGAATAGCAACCAAGTTTGCAATGAAGTGCCTGTAGATACTGTGTAATAAGCTTTAGTATGTAATAAGCCTGGGATTTTAAGGGGTTAACAGAAAAAGACACTTGCAGCTTGGCTCAGATGGCCCACCTATGTCCTGCTGTGTCTTTCCAAGTTATATATGAAGAATGAATGAAGGTGAGATATCAGGTTTTTGCCACCAATGTTCCTACATCATTGCTTGTTATTTATTTCTGTAAGATTCAGTTTTAAGATAAGTTTCGCCAGTGAGCAGTTCAGCTAATAGGCTATAGCATAGTAAATGTGTTGGTGCTGTAGGCCACTAATTCCAGGGTGATGAACCCTGACCCCTCAGTATATGTGACTGGCAGGAGGCGAGGGCATGGTATTCCTTTTCAACAGCTTGTCTAACACTATGCATAGTGACTGTGCAGTGAGCCAACAGCTGGCCAGCTATGAGGCTCCACACTCAGACAGCTGTGGTCAGGTGGTTAATTTGTTTTGACAAGCTACCGTCGAGAGATACTTTGGAAGAGCTCACAGAGGGCACAAACAACTCATTAGCTTCATTTCCCTCCTGGCATGAATGTTTACTTCATGGGTGTCAGTAAAAGTACAGTATTCCACACAAACCCCAGTTATGTAAGCTGACTTCTCTCCTGGACACACACTATATGTCCAAAAGTTTGTAGACACCTGCTCGTCCAGTGTTTTTTCTTAAATCCAGGACTATTAAAGGGCCCATATTCTGCGTTTTTTTACTTTTTCCCTCAGCTCTACTCAAACCAGTCATAATTCATTGTTAGGCAGACCATTTTCTAACCCTTCTTTACTGATATAAGTAAATGACCTCTAATTGGCTTGGTTCTATTTGGCTGCCCTGTATTGAGCCTCATTCCAAAGAAACACTTCTTGTAACTTCAGCATGATTGGGCAGAACTAAACTGTTGCAGGCTGAACAGGAGGATGTATGCAAATATGGTGGTTTTCATGACATCACAAAACAATGATTCAGAAATGATTTGGAAACTTTAACATTTTTCCAGTAAATGGGCTTTAATCGTGAGGCAGTAACGGCCTCTACTCTTCTGAGAAGGCTTTATGCTAGATGGTGGGACATTGCTGTGAGGATTTGATTGCATTCAGCCACAAGAGCATTAGTGAGGTCAGATACTGATCTTGGATGGTCAGTTCTGGATCACTCCAACTCATCCCAAAGGTATTGGATGGAGCTCCATTGCTCCAGAGAACACAGTTCCACTGCTCCACAGCCCAATGCTGGGGGGGCTTTATACCCCTCTAGCTAATACTTGGCATTAGACATGGTGAACCTAGGCTCATGTGCAGCAGCTCTAGTACTTCACATTACACAATTTTTATGAACATCTGTTTCAGCAGTGGATGCACATTAAAGTAGATGAATTCACTAATTCGGATGGGTGTCTGGATCCCTTCAGACATAATGTATATGAGCAGGTGGTGGTATCACAGATGCCTATTTCTGGTGTACAGTATGGCTGATTGCACCACTTATGCTATTAAGACTACTGATAAAGGTGGCTGAAGTGTAGACTTGGTCAGAACCTCCATCCAGCAGGCTCCTCTGGAGGACTGACAGAAGATGGTCCAATGTTAAATTTACACAATGATGTATTGAAACACCCTTTTAGATAGGGAGTGGTCTTGCAGGTGATTGCCTTCTATGGAAGAGTACTGAGATAGGAGCATTTTATAATTTCATAAAAACATTTCATAATGGGGTCTGTCAGCTGAAAGTTTTACACAGTTTTAAGTGTTCTTGTAGGAGGACATCCAGCCATAATACATCACAGCTCAACTGTAATTACAACTCAAAGTGACACTTGAACGAGTTTTCCCAGTTGGAAGCTGGTAATTACAGTCACCCCACCACTGCCTGACTTGAGTGGCGCATTAATAGGTTGCAGTTAATTTAAATTTAATTCTGCACATGTGGAAATCAGTTCAGGAGACTTGAAACATTACAAAGGGCAATGTAAGCTAATGTATTAATAGTTGTCCAGCCTTTCACGCTCTTAGATTAATCCTAAGTGTAGATTAAAAAAGGATTTTCAATAACGATTCTTCCTTAGCATAGACGTAATACACGTATGAAAGGCTGGTAACGCCTTAACCCTGACATATCTGTGCGATAAACTTGTTACTGCAGATGTCATGTGCTGTCATAAGTTGTCAGCATAGATTTTGTTCAGTAATATAATGGTGTCATGTTCCCATTACCAGTAGTTTTGGTGACAGATGCTGTGATGTTTGATGTCATGACTGCTCGTGTCACATGCTGAGCTTGGCTAAATTTACTCACTTAGCTGTCAAGATATCAAACTTTCTATGCCTTCAGAAAAAGCCTAATGGTTTATGGGAACTAAAAAAATCAGTGTCTGTTATTTTCAGTTCATTTTCTTCAAAAGAATCAGGCTTGTATTTAAACTCTGAAAGTTGTACAGTACTACACTCATTTCATTGTTAAGTTTAGGATGGAAACAAACGGTTAAACTCTTGACATGCCAAGTGTCCAGTGTTTTTTATCTTGGTTTTTAGACAGATATAACTAAGTGAGCTTTCCCATTGGTTAGGACTTCAAGCTGAGGAGCAGACCTAACGTGTTAGATGAACCACCAGCATAATTACAAAGGGACAGAGGAATCAACCAATCACATTTTGATTTAAATGGACAGGACCTGATCTTGTGAAGACAAAGAATCACTCTAGGCCCTATGCAAGTTCTAGATACGTCACTGGCTGCGATGGCAGCTCTATACCAGAGTTTACTACTGAAAGACTCACCATGAAACTGCTACAGGGTAAAGCAAAAGCTCTGTCACAAGCTTCAAGTTAAACATTTAATGTTCTTTAGAAGCTTCAAATGTCTGTGTTTAACAAACTACTAATGTAGAACCTCACAGAGATGTTAGCAGAAGTTCGCATCATCATACAGGTGTTTTTATTTTCGTCGTGGTGTCACAGAGTTTTGACATTTATAGCTCGAACTGAAGGTCTAGCTCTAATAGTCACGGTTCACCACTACATTAAACATCATTATATTTGTCATACATCTACTAATAATGGTAACATGATCCTGTTATATTTCTGGACATAATGCGACATGACAACTCAAAAAAGGATATGACATCTGGCATGTTTATGACATGGTTATGTCAATGTTATGTAGCAGCGTTCATCTCTTTATTTGTATTTGTAAAATTGTGTTTAGGCCTAATTTAATGCCTTTGTGTAAGTTTACTTTGAGAATTTAGTCCCTTAACCCCTTTAACACCCCAGACCTGATGGCTTGCATTCCTCACGTCTTAAAGGGGAATTACACCAATTACTTAAAAGGGAATTACACTGATTTTTCAAATTTTTTACATAATTCAATCATGCATTGTAGAAAAACTTCAAATTCTGAGTCAAATTCTTTACAGTGGTGGTGATAGCAGCCAGGGGTCTACAGTGCAAATTTAGCCATTTTATTCACAATCCAAAACCACCAGTGAACCTACATGTGTCTTCTGAGTTTTTGTATGTAATGTTAATAGTGGTGAATTAGTAATGAATCTGAAAAATGACATTATTTTTAGGAAAATATTTTGCCTTATAATGTCTTGCACGTACCTCTCAACAAGAATGAATTTTAAAAAATACACTTTAGGCCAAAACGTTATCAGTGAAACAATGTCTGAATCATCAGGCAGCATATTTGTAATCGTTTCATGTAATAGCTTTGTGAGGGAGCTTTTAGAGACATTAAACTCTTCAGACATGTGGTTCCCATCACCACCACAGTGAACAGTTCTGACTTCTTTTTTCTGGAACAGAGCAGTTGACTTTTTTCACATCTTAACAATTTATGTTTACAAAAATTGGTAGAATTCCCATTTAAGAATTGCTGAATATAAGCCTTAGGATGTGTTTTAAGGGTTAAGTTCCATTTGTGATCTGTATGATAATTATATAAAATGAATCATATTTCCAGGAATGACGTGGGCTGTTTTTCTGTTTTCCATCCTTCACACACATCCTGATATGTCAGTGGGTGTGGGGTGTATATTTGAGTCTATTTGAGTATGGAGCGTGTGTGTGTGGTGACGGGCACGAGGGGAGCGTGTGCTGTGGTAGGACAGGAATGTGTTCATGCCGCCACCTGTACAAGCTTTGTCTCAACACCACTGGAATTCGCCATCACTCAAGACCCAACCCCCTGAGTGCTTTCCAAAACCCTCCCAATCAACCCGTGTACTCAGAGCTTGTTGCATAACATGTCCCACAGTGGCAGTAAGTTTTCACCCCGTGCACTTGTTCTGAATGGACATATTTCAGGTAGTAAGTTAATAGTGTAGTTCATTTTATATGTTGATAGATAGTCTGTATGTGCAGATGCCAGTGAATATATGAAATATACTGTTCAGCAGGACAAAAAAAAAACATTCTTAACTTAAAATGGTAGTTTGGAATGTAAGATATTATTGCTAGTAATTTGGATCGTTTTATTATGAAGTTTACAAAATGTAATTGGCAGCTCTTGTCCTTGATATAAAGGAATAAACCTTTATAAATGTGTGTGTGTGTGTGTGTATATATATAAATATAAATATATGTATATGTATATATATATATATATATATATACACACATATATATATATATATATATATATATATATATATATATATATATATATATCGCTGTTGTCGGAAGAAAACCTCATATCTCTAAAATGGTAACTTTACAGGAGAAGGAAAAAACCTACTTTACTTCTAATGTAAGTCAATGAAACCAGACTTTTTCCCCAAGTAATTTTGTGCCATTTCTTTTTGTTCATTCATCATGAAATTTGCACACAATGTAAAGGACAACAGGCATTTTTACATTATGTTAAAAACTGAAAAACGACAAAAATGGAGATATAAGGTTTTGTTCCGACAGCAGTGAGATGTATATATAGTATACACACATTGAGCAGTACACCTACATAAGCTTGTCATGACAACTGACATAAACCTACATAAACATTTCTAAAGGCTTATTCCAGTCAACTTTGTAACACATATGTCAGGAGACACATTTTGTTCTGACAGTTTTCTGACTGTTGTTTCATAACACGTTTTTGGGTGAATTGACATTACAACAACTAACTTCATAGCTTAGAACATATTATAGCGACATAATGCTGATGATGTGAAATGGCCTAAATCTTACTGATGGTAAGATTTATAATGCCGTTTATGGTACCATACACATACTGTATATAATGAATAAATAAATAGCACATTTATATCTTTAGTTTTTCCCCATTGTTAGTACTTATAATTTGTTTGTACAGCAACTTGTAATCAATGAGGTGGTGCAGAGTGACAGTTTCACTGAGCAGTGTCTAACTGTCCGTTTCTCTGTGCATATATCTCTTGAATCTTCTTGCATCTTGAAACCCACTTTAACTAAGGGCCACAGAAGGTGCTCACTTCTGTTTAACCAACCTTACTATAACATACACTGAGCTACAAAGTCTGCCATTTCACTTCAGAAAGTGTCATGAAAACATAATGAAAGAGAAAACACATCACAGGTGTTATGTCAACTTGACCTTAGCGACAAATGACACCTGCTGGTATAAGTATATATACATGTTTATGTAGGCCTACGTCAGCTGTCGTAAAGGGCTTATGTAGCCTTATGAACAGTACCCTACAGGAAAGTATTACTGGCGGCAGAAGCATTTGTTTAGTCACAATGGTATTGGTTTGTTTCTCTGCATGTTGGGTGAAACATCACCACATTTCTCGCTGAGTTCTTGGATATCATTGCTATTTCTGTACCAATATGAGAATTGGTATGAGACATAATGCCATACCACTGGTGTGTAAGCTCACACTCATTCACTACGGCTGGTATGGGAGGCATTTTCCATTTAAACAGGCTCTCAGTAAAACCTGTATTCGTGGGAGCATAGTGAACCTTGAACAATGCATGCCTGGCTCTCCTGCGCCTTCAGTGCGACAGCTGAAAAGTACTAACTGTTATCTGAGAGTGTTTGAGCAATCCGGAGCAACAATAGGAAGAGTAATCTCCTAAATACAGACAGCTGGGAAATCCATGGATTAGTTCTAAACGGAGGTATGGTAACAGAACCAAACAGCCTGTGTACCTTTTTTTATGACTTAATGAACATGGGCTAGATTGTGGTTGTTTTGATAGTAAAATGCTTAGAAATACGTTGTGCGCACTTTTCAAATAGCATTATATTGTTTCATCATCATGAAACCACATCTAGAATCTACAGACAAACCCAGGCAATATGATTTTTGCAATGACAAATGGATTTGAAACAACTTTACTGTGGAACTGAGTGATTGGTTGCAAACAGGGTTTGCAGAAGTATCTCAGAATGTTGACAAACAGATGTGGCACAGGTAACTGCTTTTGTTTTTTTCCTCTATGGCCCAGTCCTACACATTAGCGTGTCTGCCTTTCATTACAGCAGGACTCCTCGCAAGCCAGATGAGTCAAGGCAGGGAAACCATCCTGGCCCAGTCCCACAGTGGGCCTCTGTACAAGTGGCCTTATACAGTTAGCTTCACTGTAGCCAACTGGAACAACAACCTGCCAGTTGATACGGGAGCTTACTAAGTTTAAATTCTTCTATCTATTTATAGGGGCTCTGCTATTCTATAAGACTGGAAATATTTTACATTACAAAATTTTATCTGTGCCGATTCAAATTCAGCCCTGGGAATTATTTCAATTGTTAATAGTGTTTCAGGTGGAGCATAGTGTCCATTTTGGTAACGACATGCTTTGAGAGTATTTATGAACCATGCATTGCTGTGTTTTTATCACAAGTAAAAGTGTTATTAGGTGTGACACAAAGTGGAGTAAACCCACTTACCTGTGATAAATTCACTGTAATGCGCTGCCTCAAGTGGCCTATTGCTTTTATAAAACGTCAGACAACATAAAATATGATGAAATGCATGATTCACAACAAATAACTGAGACTGTCATTAATAATGATTGCAATAAACAATTCTTCTAACAAGAAATGTAGTTTATTAAGAGTAACCATGGACCACTGAAGGAGGACAAAATTGTTCGCCTGTATTGCTTTCGTTTTATGAACATTTTAACTTTTTGTCATATAATAGTGAAAATATCATAATATAGCAGTGTTAGTAGTTTTCACTCACCAAAAACTATCACAATGACAATGCTAATGTCCTTTAGCGCCTCTATGTAATTTCCAGTCTTCTGTTAGCATCAAGATAACAGTGTTGTACATCCCTTTATCCACACTGGGGCTGAATCATAATTGGCTTCCTGCTCCCTACATAGTGCATTATGTAGGGATTCAAATACTTCCTCCTGCCTCTAAACAGTGCATAATATGTCTGAGAAATAGATATTTGTGATTCAGCCATGTCTGCACAATTCCACAGTGGACACATAGTGCTCTATTTGGGTATAGAAGCAGGAATTCCCTAACTAACATAGTGAACTATATAGGGAGTAGGCAGCCATTTGAGATTTAGATGGGGTTTAATGCTTCTTAAGGCAGAATGGTCCAAAACACTGACATCTGAAGCTTGTAAGACATTCAAGTGACATTCTTCAGACTTTTATATTATAGGGAATAGTAAATAGTAATTTAATAGTGAATAGTAAATACTTTAATTCAAAGCTTAAGATATTAAGGGAGGAGCCTTTAGCCTGTTAGCTCTCTTTTAGCCTGTTAGCTTGCTGATCAGCCTAGTTCTAGCTAAGAAAATAAGTTGTCAGCCACTCTACTCTAAATTTAGCCCGTGGTAAATAACGTAGCCCTCAGTCTAGTTGCTGTATCTTTTCCCTGATCTTAGAATTGGTACATCCTTCCTCAGCTCATTTGTGTATATCATTTACTGTAAAATTGGGCAACAGCTATTTCCAGAATTTCCCCATCTCACCCTCACTTTGGATTTCAAAATGTCAATGAAATGAGGGTAAAACAGAGAAACAGGTGCTGTGATTCTCCTGTTCTTTTTGTCTGTCTGTCTGTCTCTCTCTCTTTCTTCCTTCCACCCTCCCTCCTTGCTTGTTCCTGAGGGATGCAGTCTCACTTGCTCACCTCTGGGGGACTGCACTCAGCAGATCTACTCAGTAGGCTTCATGTTCGAGCCACCAGGAGCTAAATTTACTCTGGCCATGAAATCCTACCCTAGATCTCCTGCACCCCTGTGGCTGTGGCCAGCACCCTGGTGCCAGTGAAACATGCAGGTTTGGTTTCCTCCATTTTGATCCCCAGACGGGCTGCTGCGCCTGCCACCACTCCACACGACTCTGCGCGTGTGTCTAAGCTTCGGGAGCAGGCCGGGAAGGAGCTGGGCGCTTAACGTACAGCCTGAGGGAGTTGTAACCAGATCCCTATGAAATTAAGAATCGTTCAGTCCTAGTGTCTGCTCAGCTGTTTGGGTCCCTAGAAAAACATTTAGCCCAGAACAGCCAGGCGCAGATCTGCCTTCTTATCCCCCGGCTCTGAGCCCGACCATAAGGTTTAGCCTAAGAGGTGCAGCAGGTACTGCGGTTACCCAAGAGCTAGCAGAGCTTTTCAAAGGCCGTCTGCTAGAGACTTAGTTTCTTGACCTTTGCACCCTGACACACGTGTCGCACATCTCCAGTCATAGCGTATCACGTCTTGTCCCGTCAACCTAATGACCAAGGCATGGATTAATAACATTCTCTAACCAGACAGGAATTTCACAGCTGAATTCTCATGAGACGTATCAGCCTTGAGGGAACCCCTCCGCCAAATCCGCCCCACCCAGTCGTAGATACTGTATTACATTCTACTGGTCATGAAAGCTGTACATCACAGCTGTCAAAGTGGAGGTTGTCATTAACAGACTGAGGCAATTAATACTTTGAGCAAGCACATCCTTGGATCTTGTTTGAGACGTTCGTGACAAAGAAACAGATACTCATTTGGATTGTGACTTGGGAATGCCAATCCAACAGTAATGCTTTGGACTTGTCAGTATAACATAACTCATTTCATCCATTTTGTACTGTGCATATTTTATATTCTTCGGATAAGCTTGCAGTGCGCATAGTTAGTTGATGTGTTTTCATAGTCAGATGGTTAGCTTGATGTGTTTTCATAGTCAGATGGTTGGTTAAAATCGGTCAGGGATATTTACCTTGGCCTTCGCAGTTTGGAATGAGCAAGACACAGCTACCCCAGAGAAGCAGGGTCAGGGTTACCCTCTGTATCATGGTGCAGGGAAATCTGAAACAGAACGAGAGAATCTCACATTAGTATTTAAAACTGTTCTGACCTCGTTCATTACTTTAGGGTGTTTTAAGAAAACCTGGATAGCAATTAGCAATAAGAGTTCTAAGAAGCTTGTTGGACACTGCCATTGTATGCTCAAAACACTTGGAGGAGGGTGCTAACTGCCAGTTCTGTTACATCAGCTAACAGATGCCTTCGTTGGCCAGCATCATGCTGAGAGATGGGTGGAGAAGTAGGACCATCCTACCAGTGGGGAGAACTGGTACTTAGTAATGTCTGATAGGACATGAGGGCAATCCTGAGCGAGTCCAAAATGAATGGGTTCCTGTGGAGCTTTTATGCAAAATCATTTGTAGATCATTTTTATACAGAAAAAAGCACTCGTTTACTCAACCCACAGCAGAATTAAATATTTCAACACTGCTTTCATATTTTTGAGTACTTTTGAACTCAAGTTTGCAGACTTTCTAGCAGTGTCTTATGTACATTGATGACATCAGTGAATGCAGTAATGTAACTCAGCAGCCGTAATGGTAGCATCCTGCTGAACAAAAGCTTTTTTAATGTAGAAAAACAAAATTACAAAAGTATTAGTAAGTTTTCTTTGATTTAATAGAATATATCTATCTTACACACTTTCTCTCTCTCTCTCTCTCTCTCTCTCTATATATATATATATATATATATATATATGTGTGTGTGTATATATATATATATATATACACACACCTTCTACTTTACAAAATTAAAGGAAGTTCCCACATATTTGACTATAATTGTGTTTAATATTTCATTTTAGCCATTTTGTTCCATTGACTACCATTCATCTTGGATTTGCTTGTGGGAGCTCTCCAAAGTTTTGCAGTTCTGTTTTTAATACAATTGGAGAAATAGGAAGCGGCTCCTCATGAGCTGGCTCTGATTCTATCTACCCAGAGTAAAGTGGTTTCAGTTATGCTCTCTTGGATGGCTGCGTCATCCATTGAAAGCTTATATAACGCTACACATTTGAATAGCATGGTAAATCTAATGGTGCCTAATGTATTTGCTAATGCAGCCCAAAGGAAAAAAACCATGAACTAGAAGGTTCCAAAAACATTCAACAACAACAGAAGCATCAGTAATATACATGTACATGTTAATAACATATACATGTTCTTTGGGCAAGTTGAAACATCATTTGAATTGTACAGTAAATGAGTCAACAGTGTTTCAGCGCGTGGATATAATTATTGGACGCATAGAATACTTGTATCTCCACCCATAAAACAAGGCACAAAAAATGTCAGGAGCTCTTTCCTACTGACTCTTCAACCCCCCGAAGATCAAACCGAGGTGAAACCTGACCGTAGAGTAGCTAACAGACACTCTCTCAATAATTTAAACGACTGTTTGAATCTTTAATGGTGGACATTTACAACAGGACCACACGCCTTCTTCCCCACCTTGTTTGCCTATTGACACAACTACAACACACCATTGTGCACCTTATTGATGAAGCTGTTTTCTACACGTTTAAATGTCTTCCAAGCAGCAGCATCTGCACCTCCTTAATAGACAGATACACAGCAGTAGCTACGTTGTGTAAGATTAGCAAGCTTGTCATTGTGAATTAGACTCAATTTTCAAAATCTGATTTGCAGACGACCACTTGGTGGTCAATCCTTAATCACTTATCTGGATGGTGCTACTATTCAAAATGGCAAGTTGACCTTTCCAGCTCTTGGAACTGAGAGAGAATGAGAGTGTATATTTTTTTCAGGACACTCTTGGCTTGAGGTTACCCTTCTGGGTAATCTCTCAATTGCCGTCCATAGATTCTGGGCCTGGTGATGAGGCTTTGGCCACTGAGCTCCTGCTGCCCACTTTGGTTGCTCTCTTGCCTGCTGAGCGGAGCTGTTAATAAAAGCAACTTGGGAAACACGCTGAGCCCGAAACCTGAGAAGAGATTTATTTCCATAACTAGAGGCTTTTCTCGTGTCATTGTACATAGCCAGCATCTATTGTCCTTGATGCTGGAGATGCCATGTCAATTATCAGTTCGACTTTCTACCCCGTCTCTCATACAGGCACCTGGCAGTGAAAATAAACAAGCTATATTTATTCGTTCTTGTCTTCTTCACAGCTCAATCACTCAGCCATTGATTATACCAGGTGCTATACTTAGCTGTGTGTAATCAGCCTGTGCTAGTTTGTAGGATGCCGAAAATGAAGTGAGAGTATCCGTTTTGGCAGTCGTCACTTTTTTCATTGTTAAAGGCACAGAGGGCCCAAATGGGAATTTCACCTCCCTATGTTTGGGTAGCATGTTTATCATCTAGCTGAGACAACCGAATACCCATTAGCAGGTTTGAGCTCCAGGAGGCACCAGATGTCAGACCATGCTTCAAACTTGATATACACACTTAAATATGATGGTGCCAAAAAGCGATCTTTGGAGCGATGCAGTAGAAGAACCAATTTGTGTTCCCTAAAGGCCCTTTTCAGTGGATGCTTCCTTGAAGAACAGTAAGTGAGATATGTGAGTGTGAAGAAGCTGAGAACTTGAAGATAATGTAAAGTTTCTTGGTGGAAAAAATTTTAATTGGATAATGTTGTTACATTAAGGTCTTTAAAATTGGAAAAGGTTCTCCAAATTTGCGCACTTCATCCATTGAAATGTTCTTTAATGCACCAAATTTGGCTCCAAAGAACCCTTTTAGCACTGTTATTTTTAAGAATGTAAATGTATTGTAAATTGTACAAGCTTGGCCTTGGTGTTGGTGGTAGGGCTGGACAATATAATTGTAGTGATGAGTTACATTACAATATGTCACAATGTGCTTATCTGAGTCCAAACGGAAAATCGTCAGTACATCTAGAACCCTGACCAACTGTGTTTCATTACAAAGAGGGCGTAATTCGTCCTGACTAATTTGATTTAGTGCAGCACAGGATGTAAAATCTTCAATAAAATCAGTGATTTGGTAGTTTTGACAATATTTTTAAATGTGGCACTATTGGTACTTTTTTTGTCTGTTCCGACTTATCAGATGCCAGAAAATCATGACATATCGTATATCATGAACATTTCTCAAAGTATCTTGATCTTGTAATTTTGCCATCACCCACCTCTAGTTTCCTGGGTCAGGATGGGGAGGGCAGCTTGATGCAATGCCCTCTGGTTCTGTCCTTTCTGTCCTAACTTTCAACTATTTTGGCTTTGTGTTCTTGTTTATTTACTTAAAATAATGAAAATCCATCTTTTTATTTTGCCCTAGATTTTATGTTCTTGGAGGACCTGCAGTCTTAGTTCATTTTCCTGGCTCTCTAACTGTTTGGATTCATATCAGCCTCATGATAGGTAGACAAGTCATGGTTAGGGGGTGGAAGACAGCACCTGCACCTTCTATACAGGAATGGCTTAATAAATTGGCAAAAGTTGCAGCATATGAAAGGATTGGAGAAAATGGACAGATATTACCTACGGGTGTGTATTTCAACTAATTTTGATATCTGGGTATTTGTAAGGGTTAATAAACAAAAACATTTGATAAGTTATTCAAAAATAGCCCAGAGAAATCGGTAGGTTAAGTAACAGAAGCTGCCTCTTCAGATGAGCTAATGAACTAACAGAGCTAACCAGTGCACCTTAGATGCTGATGACTCATCGTCTTTTCTCCTCAGTGGACGATGTGCCAACAGTAGGTTTACCAGATTGCTAAATATATTTTATTGTTTCTGGACCTAGCGAAAAGCTAGCTATCCCTGCCTTCTCAGTTAGCTAGGTTACATCCCTAATGTCACTGGCAATGCAAATACCACACAGTACAACTAATACAGTGTAAAAGTTATAGGCACCTAAGCACATTGTTGAAAACTATTTATCTTGGCAGTAAGTTTGTTTTTTGTGTTTTTGCTTGTAAAACAGCGATATACCGTTAGAATGAATATAAATAAACATACAAACTGTAAAAGGTAACAAGAATTTCTTCATTTGAAAAAATGTAGTTGATGTCTTGAGAACTGGTTTGAAGAAGTTTAGTTCCATGTTTCTCCTCAACATCCCCAATTTTGTTCAGTTCCATCACCAGCACACTTGATTTAACACCATGAAGTGTTGATCTGCCAAATAATATTGGGCTTCATCAGGAAGAAGTTTGGATGTGGTTAAACAAACACACTGACATGCAGAAAATCACTACCCATTGTACCAGTGTTATTTGTATTTATTCTAATGTTAGTGTTTTTCTGAGCAAACAAAGGCCCAGATAAATGACTTTGAAGTGAGATACTTTTTCTGTGAAACACAATTTTTTTTTCTGAGTATCTGTGAGGAGCATGACCACTAATTATCAGTTTTAATGTGCACCTGTTTTCTTTCCCTTTTTGAGTCTGTTAGATTTATTAATATAAAATGTAAAACTGCAATAAAACATCAGGAACAAAGACTGCAGGTCTAAATCTGGCTACGTGCAAACCTGGTTTCTCACATGGCAACTTTGTAATGTGTGACTAATTGTCACAAATTGTATTTGTGACTTTGTTACACATTTTATATAAGTTCAGATTTCACAAGTTCCAGTCACTCTGTTAATAGCACTTACTTCCTTTTGTATTCTAAGCACTCTAGCTCTGGTTTAGGGGTTGTGTTCAGTTTATCCTCCTATTAGAACTGCTGCGGTCATGCTCACCAAATGTCACACTCTCAAAGTTAACGTCAGTAGCCAGTGTCAAAATGTCACCATCAAACAGCCGAGGTGTGAGCAGAAGTGGCTGGGATATTCTTGGCGAGGTGTTTTTTCCTTCTTTCGCAACTCTGTCTGACAGCAATCAGCCACATTTTTGCCTGCACACAACCTCCATCCCTGCATTCCTCTGGGAAATAGAAACCTTTGGCTGTGAAGGGACGTCTTGGGAAGTATGATATATTAAATATTACCTGGTTTAAAAATGGGTTCCTAAAGGAGTTTTGGCCTAGACGTATTTTCAGGAGTGTTCTTTGAGAGAGGCCA